AAAACTTTGAAACTTTTCTTTATAAAGAAAGGATGCTAAGCGATCACACAGTCCATTTGATTGTAGGCGGATGATGTGGCGCATAGACATCTACATCTAACCTTAATTAAGAATCCAAATGCAAATGTAGGAAAGCAGTGAATCGTAAATGAACTTAAAGGTTGGATAAGGCTAATTTGCTCCTAAAAGTTAATTTTCTCGTAATTTTTAGCAAAACACCGTGTACTAAATTTTCAACAAAAAACTGTGTGTAACTTTTTTTTTAGATTTCCAACAAATTTCGGTTGCGTCGCGAACACGAATACGTCACTTATTTGTATGAAAGGGTATTTAGTAGCCTATTTCATCAACGTAGCATAGGAGACCATCTTAAGAGCACATAGGCACAATGCGGCTACCCGCATTGCCCTACATTTGACCGAAAGCGGGAATGTATATATATATATAAAACATATTTTCTTTCGTACGTAACTGCCGGATATCCGGACGCTTACTATTCGCAGTTTGTTTAGTACATACGCTACCCGCCAACAAGTTAGGTCGGGGCATACATACGTGTAGTTAGAAATAAGAATACTCTCCTCTTAATTGTTTCTTCTTTATATTGTATATATGTAATAAACAGCTGCTTAAGAGGGCTATTAATCTTCCGGTCACCAGATGTCGCTAGGTGGGACTGAGGTCAAGTTATTTATTACACATAGTGAAAATTGAGAAATTGCGTTCTAATTTTATGGCTATTCGTTTTTAAATTATGTAAATACACGAAACAATATCTCAGTGTTTTGCCCTTTAATTTTTTGCACATTTTTAACTCTCTTTAAATTTTTCTACTTTTAGAGATATCCGTAGTTTCGTTTATACATTTCTTGTCCAATTAATATAAACTAAAATTTCAGAAATAAATATTAACTCCTACATTTTCCTTACGAATCAACTTCGCCCGCCATGAAATATGTCAAATATTTCTCCATAAAAGGTCGTGGATTATTCTTTCACGTCCGTCTTCGATATAGCTTGTCCCGATCGCAACATTTCAACGGATTTCTCAATAATTTACATTCAATACTTGATATAATACCATACATTAACGAACAAATAAAACTCGAAATCTAAAAAAAAAGGAACTGTCATGCTGACATATCCTTTTTGACATTTTGCCGCACATAATTAATTAATCATTTCATACAAAGTTTAATTTCATAAATTACACATTAACGTAATAGAGAAGAGAGTAACAGATTAAAGGCGCTAAAATATAAAGTTTAAACTTTGATATTACAAAATAAATACCACGTGGGCCTTTCTTCCAACTACATTTACAGACCTTATCTTTTTTATTCTTTACTCTGTTTTTAATTTTTATTAAGATATTTTTTCATCCAATCACTCATTCATTATCCTATCAAAGTCGACTGCTGAAAAAAGGCCTCCTCTTAGATTGCCTTATATGTCTCCCACATTTGCCATAGTTGCCACGCCTGGCAGGCGGGTTATCAACTACAGTATATTTTGAGTTCTTTACAGGAAAATGATGCTGCCATGTGCTGTTTCAGTTTCACTCTGTCGCCTCTTACATCTACAGCACGATATATCCTACGCAGGCACCACACGACAAGGCGACAAAAAATTAGTAAAAATTTAATGAAAACATACAAATCTGTGACACGACTATTTTTTTGCTTTTGTAATGCGGAAAATTGCCGTTTTCATACTACATATTATAAAAGGTCCATACAAATATAAAGAAATATAAACAACCCATAATTTTCATATGCATACACTTCAGTCTACTTTGATGAACCTACACTTGCTTGATACAATATAGCAAAATACCCAAGTGATACTCAATTTTAGGATGTCTTTATGTCTCTTGGTGTCACAGTCACTTTGACTTAAAATGATAGAGACAGCACGAGACTTAAGGGCGTCTTAAAATTCAGTAGCGTTTGAGTATTTGGGCGTACTCGTATGATTATTAGATTCAAGTTAATTGAAAAATCATTCAGATCGATGCGTTTTGTAATAAGATTTATTTTGAATTGTAGCTAATAGCTATTTAAAGTTAATAAAGACAAACAGCTATCTCGTAGTGCTATTATGGCTTTTCTCATAACCTCTTCAGACCGTAGGTACTCATACGAGGACCTTAGCATTTTTAGAATTGCAACAGTTAGCGACATCGTGTGACAACTGTCAATACTAATGAAAGTCGATAAAGGATACAGAGCTTCTATCTAAACCGATAGATGGCTTTTAGACAATAGTTTTGACACGTAAAATTAAGTTTGAAATTGTTCGTTTGAAAATTTTCCGTAGGTCTGTCACGTTCGAACTTTGAAAATCAATATAAAATTATTTTGTTTGCTTCAAGTCGAAAGTGTTGTAGTTTTGTAAAGCTGAATAACTAAATTTATGTTTGAAAGGGTGAGTTTTTGTTTCTGTTTGTTTTTTTTGTATCAAAATTCGAATTTTTTTGCTGTTCCACGTATGTGGACCTCAGGATTTAACGTTGGTTTTAATAGCATATTACTATTTTTCAGTTCTATCATGAATGACCGGGATATTGAGGATATTCTCAATAAAAGTGACTTTGACTTCTCTGGCAATGAAGATGACAATGATTACTTGCCTCCAGAAGTGGTAAGGGCTCTTCATCAGTCCGACGATTCAGAAGAAGATGAAGAAGAAAATTTGACAGAAGCGGAACCTGGAAGGTCAGCACCGTTGTTTTGGCGTACAAAAGAAATGCGTTGCCGTGGACCAGACATCGCAGATGATGAGCTCGTAGCGCAGGGTACTTCAGAGATGAACATTTTGTATTGTTTTTTTGAGTACTTGGGAACAGAATTCTGGGAAATGGTGGCTGAACAAAGTAACATTTATTCTGCTCAAAAACGTGATCTAAAATCATTGAAAACAAACTCCATTGAGATTATTCATTTTGCGGGTATGCAATTATTGATGGGTACTCTTAAATACCCCCAAGGAAAACTTTATTGGACTAGAGATTTATGTGTGCCTATTATCAGGGATACCATGCCTCGGGACCGATTTTTTGAACTTCGCAATTATCTCCACTTCGTAGACCTGAACTGTCCAGATACTAACGACAAACTATGGAAAATAAGGCCAATAATTAATCCAATTTTAAAGAAATGCCACAGTTTGCCTCGTTCTAAACACATGTCCATAGACGAGCAAATGATACCATTTGCAGGGCGATGTGAGTACCGTCAGTACGTTCCAAGTAAACCTAATCCACTTGGACTTAAAAATTTTGTACTCGCTGCCCGAGATGGAATAGTGTTAGATTTCGAAATATATGTTGGTAAAGACACCATATCACCAGAAATTATGAAAAATTTGGGACTAGGAGGCGGCATTGTGCAAACTCTTTGCCGCACCATTGAAAGCAGTTGTGTTCTTTACACCGATAGGTTTTTTACTAGTTTAAAACTGGCCGAGCATCTTATTGCAAATAATAATCAAATATTTCTAACTGGAACTGTTATGACAAATAGAATTGGCCCAGTATCTACGAAATTGAAGCCAGACAAGGAGTTGCAGAGAGGGGCCTGGGATGAAAAAGTCCGAAATGATGATAACATATGTATCGTGAAATGGAAAGACACAAAAGCGGTAACATTGCTATCTACATGTACAGGAGGTGAGCCAGCAACTACGTGCCAGCGTTGGTGTAAGGTTAGAAAAGAAAAGATAGATGTGACACAGCCAGCTGTTGTAAAAACCTACAACACTTGCATGGGCGGAATAGACTTGTGTGATCGGCTCATTGCATATTATCGGAGCTCAATGCGCACAAAAAAATGGACAGTTAGAACGTTTTGTCACTTTCTCGACCTTGTGGTTGTCAATTGCTGGTTGATGTACATGCGTTGTTGCAAAGTTGAAAATGTGGAAAGCAAGCATAAGCTGGGATTGCTTCAATACCGCTTGAATTTGGCTAAAGCCTTGATGAAGTATGACGGTGGTAGAGTGGACCCAAATTTTATGCGTCCTGGCTCCAGATCTCAATCTAGCCCTGGCCCCTCGGCAGTTTCCAACTCAAAAATCACGGACGTGGGCTGTGATGAGCCTCCTGCAAAAAAAAATCGAGCGGTTGTACCCCATCCGCTACCTGAAACAAGGCTGGATAATGTGGGCCACCTGCCACGATTCATTGATTCCAAGAACGCATCCAAATGTCGCCATCCGACATGTTCATCCAAATGCCGCACTATGTGTGTAAAATGTCATGTTTTTTTATGTATATTAAAAAATAACTGTTTCGAGAGTTACCATTCTAATAAGAACTTTGGACCGCATTAAGACCCAAGGTCCACATATGTGGAACAACTTTTTTTTATATTAATAATAATAATAAATTTTTTTTAAAAAATTATAGTTTTTATTTTGACCCCAGTAAGTATAAAAAACGCAAAAAGTTACTTATACATAAGTCCCCTCTAGTTCAGGTCTGAAGAGGTTAATTGTTTAAATAGGTTATATATATTTATCGTTCTTTAATTTTAAATTCGCAGAACTATTTCTTATGGGCTCTTTCTTTCTTTAGTCTGGGCCTCAATGAAACATCGTAACAGTCCTAACTTAAGCAATAGAACCTCATATTGTTTCGATTCAAATGCATCTAAGTGTTAGAAGTCCTATTGTTTAAATTTCGGACTTTGATAATTTAATATTTATCTTAATACCTTAGAATTAAGGCTCTATTTCGTTTGGATAACAATTTTACATACATTGAACACTAAATGCTTAAGGAGATGACTCAAGTTGCAATTTATTATTTTGTAACTAAACTGCAATTGAATTTATGTTCTGAGGTATAAAGAATACATTTCAATTACGTCTCTCGCCAAAGTGATTACTTATCAAATTCTATATCTGTATGAGTTTGCCTAAAAATTCGTTCAAAGGCATTTAAATATGTATTCTATGTAATTGAGAATAAATTCCTATTTCGCGTGTTAAACTTACTACTACCGTAGTTTCGCTTGTCTTTGTTGCCAGACAGCGTATTTCGCACAGGCGGTGTCTATCATTTGGTTCATATGTTTTGTAAGGGTTGTGGCCAGCGGCGTTAGGTCTCGAAGCATCTTTTCCTGAAAATTTTGAAAGTAATTTTTACGTTAATATTAAATGAACAAAAGAAAAAACAGCCTATAAGTCCCACAGATGGGCAACCACCTTATTTCTGAGACGACCAAGTGTTAAATCAGTTCTTAAAATTGCAACTAACTATTTCGTTAGTGCCGGCAGGGATCTAATTCGGTTACCTCGCCTACTACGAAATTATAAGCGCTATATAATTCGTAGTAGGCGAGGTAACCTATATATGCATAATTCTCTGAGCTACCATTTCTGAACGTTATGTTCTTATTTATATATTTATTATAATAAGCAGTTGAAAAGCCTAATTGCTTGATTTAATAAAGATGCTAGCATTGCGATTGTATCACTCTTGTGGCAATTACTCCGAAATAGCGTTATGTTTTTTCAATATGGTAATATTTTGTGAATTTAAAAGACGTCGCCTTAGAATGGTTGATGATAAGTTTGCGCCATACAAATAGACCAAACGTCACAACAAACCCAATCGGGGCTTCCACCAGGGATACATAATCGCACTTCAGATTAGATAGTAGTTTATACAAACTACAAGAAATCACCAGTACTTATTTAACAAGTAACAAACGGGTACATATTCCAAAGCTAGGAAATAATTTAAAATTAAAAATTTTGTACAACCGACTTCAATATAAATTATTAAGAATAACTCAAAAACTATTGGTCAGACCTTGATCAAATTTATATAGGACCACATGTGAAGCACCAGGTTTCAAATAAAAAAAAGAATCATCTAAATCGACTCACCCAGAATAAGTTATGAGGTAACACACTTAAAAAAAAACATACAGTCGAATTGAGTACCTCCTCCTGTTTGAAGTCGGTAGATAAAATAAAGCAAAAATAATATTGTCGTAAAGCCATCGGCAATTTACGGCTTAAAGGTATTCACGTACCTCAAACGGTCGTAGTTTAACATTTCTAAACCTTAAAAGCGCTTCATAAAACTTCTCCGCTCGCGCTGTAGTGTCTTCGGTGTCAGTAGAGGAGCCTGGCTGGGGGAAACATCTCCACAACTCTCTTAACAACTCCCCCCCGGAGAGGTAGAGACGGTGGAGTTCTGCTTTTACGTCTGTTGGTATTAATTCTGAAAGGAATAACAACATTTTTTTTTAAGTCTAAGCCAGTGCTTGACTACTGTCTCACCTGTGGTAAGTGGCGATGCAGCAGACATAGCTTTACAAAAGCCTATACACTCTTGCCTCGTAGATTCTCAGATTGTGATAAGAGTTGTAGTGTCTTTAGCAGTAAGCAAACCATTTTAAAAATAAAAATCTGTTAATAAGACGATTTTTTACTATTACATTATAATACTACACATTTCACAGTGCAGTGACGGTGTAAGAATATCCACTACCCAATATCGTCTCGTGGGTGTCGTAAGGCAACAAACTAGGAGATGGACAGCAGCGTCTTCCTAATAAAAACGAAAAATAAAAAATCTGCGGTTGCCAACTAGCCTGCCAAGCGTGACAATTAATGCAAATATTACCTACGTTCAGTTGTGGACTTAGGCTGTGACGGTAACTGCACATTTCATAAAACTAATTACAAATTTCATCTAAGTGGAAGTCTACAGTCTAAAATCATATTCAGGATCGTGTATGTACAGGGTGGCGATTAGGTTATCACATTAAATAGCACAGCGGTAAAAACAAGTTCATATAAGTCTTTTAGAATAATAAAATAAACAGTTATACCAAAAATGAAAAAATACATCTTTCAAACAAAAAAAAATAGCGTAAAAACTGACACGACATCAATCACCTTGATAATGTTAATTTACTGACCTGAAGTGACCTGTAAAAGCGGCAACGGTGTGGCAGGTGCGCAGTGCTCACGCGGCATAAACATAGATTATTATTTACCTATACTTTCCCATTCATAGGTAATTAGACAAAAAACGAAAAAAAGGGCTACCGCGACTAGAATGTTAATAGTTATATATTTCATTTGTTGTGTATGTTCAAAGAACGTTATGTAAGATAAGTATTTTCATTTAATGTGATAACTTTACCAGCCCGTAATAGTCCACTTCCTCTCTTTCTTGTTGTAGGGAAGATGTGCCTTAATTGCCACGCTTGGCTGGTAGATTGGCAATTCTAAATTAGGCTTATATGCTGCTTCTCGTCGCCGATCTGAGAGTCAGACATGTGCGACGTGAATGCGATTACCGAACCGCCTGGCAAGCGTTGCAACTAAACACATGTATAACGAGAGACCCATGTTCAGCAGCTAGCTGTTAAGGAAGAATGACGAAGTATGGAGACGGAAAAGAGGAGAAGGGGAAGAGGTGGATTATTCGTAGGGGCAAGAAGAGTATTAAGAGAAAAAGGGAAAGATAATGATGAAAGAAGAGCAGGATGGAGAGAGGAGGAGGATAAAGAGCGGGAAGATCAGGATGGAGGAGAAGCCGGAGGCTAGGAAGGAAGATTGTGCGGAAAGTAGTCTGGGAGGAGGAGGAGGGTAGGGAAGTAGGATTATATCGCGATTATGGGTTGAGTGTGCGTGCGTGCGTGCGTGTGTGTGTGTGTGTGTGTGTGTGTGTGTGTGTGTGTGTGTGTATGTGTGCGTGTGTACTCACGCGCCATGCTGGCGGCGTGCTGGTGCCGCATGAGCGCGCCGCCGGGGCTCAGCTCGCCGAGCGCGCCGACGTGTGACGTAGTGCGGTGTGTGTGTGTACGTATGTGTGCGTGTGTACTCACGCGCCATGCTGGCGGCGTGCTGGTGCCGCATGAGCGCGCCGCCGGGGCTCAGCTCGCCGAGCGCGCCGACGTGTGACGTAGTGCGGTGTGTGTGTGTACGTATGTGTGCGTGTGTACTCACGCGCCATGCTGGCGGCGTGCTGGTGCCGCATGAGCGCGCCGCCGGGGCTCAGCTCGCCGAGCGCGCCGACGTGTGACGTAGTGCGGTGTGTGTGTGTACGTATGTGTGCGTGTGTACTCACGCGCCATGCTGGCGGCGTGCTGGTGCCGCATGAGCGCGCCGCCGGGGCTCAGCTCGCCGAGCGCGCCGACGTGTGACGTAGTGCGGTGTGTGTGTGTACGTATGTGTGCGTGTGTACTCACGCGCCATGCTGGCGGCGTGCTGGTGCCGCATGAGCGCGCCGCCGGGGCTCAGCTCGCCGAGCGCGCCGACGTGTGACGTAGTGCGGTGTGTGTGTGTACGTATGTGTGCGTGTGTACTCACGCGCCATGCTGGCGGCGTGCTGGTGCCGCATGAGCGCGCCGCCGGGGTTCAGCTCGCCGAGCGCGCCGACGTGTGACGTAGTGCGGTGTGTGTGTGTACGTATGTGTGCGTGTGTACTCACGCGCCATGCTGGCGGCGTGCTGGTGCCGCATGAGCGCGCCGCCGGGGCTCAGCTCGCCGAGCGCGCCGACGTGTGACGTAGTGCGGTGTGTGTGTGTGTGTATGTGTGCGTGTGTACTCACGCGCCATGCTGGCGGCGTGCTGGTGCCGCATGAGCGCGCCGTACGGGGCTCAGCTCGCCGAGCGCGCCGACGTGTGACGTAGTGCGGTGTGTGTGTGTACGTATGTGTGCGTGTGTACTCACGCGCCATGCTGGCGGCGTGCTGGTGCCGCATGAGCGCGCCGCCGGGGCTCAGCTCGCCGAGCGCGCCGACGTGTGACGTAGTGCGGTGTGTGTGTGTACGTATGTGTGCGTGTGTACTCACGCGCCATGCTGGCGGCGTGCTGGTGCCGCATGAGCGCGCCGCCGGGGCTCAGCTCGCCGAGCGCGCCGACGTGTGACGTAGTGCGGTGTGTGTGTGTGTGTATGTGTGCGTGTGTACTCACGCGCCATGCTGGCGGCGTGCTGGTGCCGCATGAGCGCGCCGCCGGGGCTCAGCTCGCCGAGCGCGCCGACGTGTGACGTAGTGCGGTGTGTGTGTGTACGTATGTGTGCGTGTGTACTCACGCGCCATGCTGGCGGCGTGCTGGTGCCGCATGAGCGCGCCGCCGGGGCTCAGCTCGCCGAGCGCGCCGACGTGTGACGTAGTGCGGTGTGTGTGTGTACGTATGTGTGCGTGTGTACTCACGCGCCATGCTGGCGGCGTGCTGGTGCCGCATGAGCGCGCCGCCGGGGCTCAGCTCGCCGAGCGCGCCGACGTGTGACGTAGTGCGGTGTGTGTGTGTACGTATGTGTGCGTGTGTACTCACGCGCCATGCTGGCGGCGTGCTGGTGCCGCATGAGCGCGCCGCCGGGGCTCAGCTCGCCGAGCGCGCCGACGTGTGACGTAGTGCGGTGTGTGTGTGTACGTATGTGTGCGTGTGTACTCACGCGCCATGCTGGCGGCGTGCTGGTGCCGCATGAGCGCGCCGCCGGGGCTCAGCTCGCCGAGCGCGCCGACGTGTGACGTAGTGCGGTGTGTGTGTGTACGTATGTGTGCGTGTGTACTCACGCGCCATGCTGGCGGCGTGCTGGTGCCGCATGAGCGCGCCGCCGGGGCTCAGCTCGCCGAGCGCGCCGACGTGTGACGTAGTGCGGTGTGTGTGTGTGTGTATGTGTGCGTGTGTACTCACGCGCCATGCTGGCGGCGTGCTGGTGCCGCATGAGCGCGCCGCCGGGGCTCAGCTCGCCGAGCGCGCCGACGTGTGACGTAGTGCGGTGTGTGTGTGTACGTATGTGTGCGTGTGTACTCACGCGCCATGCTGGCGGCGTGCTGGTGCCGCATGAGCGCGCCGCCGGGGCTCAGCTCGCCGAGCGCGCCGACGTGTGACGTAGTGCGGTGTGTGTGTGTACGTATGTGTGCGTGTGTACTCACGCGCCATGCTGGCGGCGTGCTGGTGCCGCATGAGCGCGCCGCCGGGGCTCAGCTCGCCGAGCGCGCCGACGTGTGACGTAGTGCGGTGTGTGTGTGTACGTATGTGTGCGTGTGTACTCACGCGCCATGCTGGCGGCGTGCTGGTGCCGCATGAGCGCGCCGCCGGGGTTCAGCTCGCCGAGCGCGCCGACGTGTGACGTAGTGCGGTGTGTGTGTGTACGTATGTGTGCGTGTGTACTCACGCGCCATGCTGGCGGCGTGCTGGTGCCGCATGAGCGCGCCGCCGGGGCTCAGCTCGCCGAGCGCGCCGACGTGTGACGTAGTGCGGTGTGTGTGTGTGTGTATGTGTGCGTGTGTACTCACGCGCCATGCTGGCGGCGTGCTGGTGCCGCATGAGCGCGCCGCCGGGGCTCAGCTCGCCGAGCGCGCCGACGTGTGACGTAGTGCGGTGTGTGTGTGTACGTATGTGTGCGTGTGTACTCACGCGCCATGCTGGCGGCGTGCTGGTGCCGCATGAGCGCGCCGCCGGGGCTCAGCTCGCCGAGCGCGCCGACGTGTGACGTAGTGCGGTGTGTGTGTGTACGTATGTGTGCGTGTGTACTCACGCGCCATGCTGGCGGCGTGCTGGTGCCGCATGAGCGCGCCGCCGGGGTTCAGCTCGCCGAGCGCGCCGACGTGTGACGTAGTGCGGTGTGTGTGTGTACGTATGTGTGCGTGTGTACTCACGCGCCATGCTGGCGGCGTGCTGGTGCCGCATGAGCGCGCCGCCGGGGCTCAGCTCGCCGAGCGCGCCGACGTGTGACGTAGTGCGGTGTGTGTGTGTGTGTATGTGTGCGTGTGTACTCACGCGCCATGCTGGCGGCGTGCTGGTGCCGCATGAGCGCGCCGCCGGGGCTCAGCTCGCCGAGCGCGCCGACGTGTGACGTAGTGCGGTGTGTGTGTGTACGTATGTGTGCGTGTGTACTCACGCGCCATGCTGGCGGCGTGCTGGTGCCGCATGAGCGCGCCGCCGGGGCTCAGCTCGCCGAGCGCGCCGACGTGTGACGTAGTGCGGTGTGTGTGTGTACGTATGTGTGCGTGTGTACTCACGCGCCATGCTGGCGGCGTGCTGGTGCCGCATGAGCGCGCCGCCGGGGCTCAGCTCGCCGAGCGCGCCGACGTGTGACGTAGTGCGGTGTGTGTGTGTACGTATGTGTGCGTGTGTACTCACGCGCCATGCTGGCGGCGTGCTGGTGCCGCATGAGCGCGCCGCCGGGGTTCAGCTCGCCGAGCGCGCCGACGTGTGACGTAGTGCGGTGTGTGTGTGTACGTATGTGTGCGTGTGTACTCACGCGCCATGCTGGCGGCGTGCTGGTGCCGCATGAGCGCGCCGCCGGGGCTCAGCTCGCCGAGCGCGCCGACGTGTGACGTAGTGCGGTGTGTGTGTGTGTGTATGTGTGCGTGTGTACTCACGCGCCATGCTGGCGGCGTGCTGGTGCCGCATGAGCGCGCCGCCGGGGCTCAGCTCGCCGAGCGCGCCGACGTGTGACGTAGTGCGGTGTGTGTGTGTACGTATGTGTGCGTGTGTACTCACGCGCCATGCTGGCGGCGTGCTGGTGCCGCATGAGCGCGCCGCCGGGGCTCAGCTCGCCGAGCGCGCCGACGTGTGACGTAGTGCGGTGTGTGTGTGTACGTATGTGTGCGTGTGTACTCACGCGCCATGCTGGCGGCGTGCTGGTGCCGCATGAGCGCGCCGCCGGGGTTCAGCTCGCCGAGCGCGCCGACGTGTGACGTAGTGCGGTGTGTGTGTGTACGTATGTGTGCGTGTGTACTCACGCGCCATGCTGGCGGCGTGCTGGTGCCGCATGAGCGCGCCGCCGGGGCTCAGCTCGCCGAGCGCGCCGACGTGTGACGTAGTGCGGTGTGTGTGTGTGTGTATGTGTGCGTGTGTACTCACGCGCCATGCTGGCGGCGTGCTGGTGCCGCATGAGCGCGCCGCCGGGGCTCAGCTCGCCGAGCGCGCCGACGTGTGACGTAGTGCGGTGTGTGTGTGTACGTATGTGTGCGTGTGTACTCACGCGCCATGCTGGCGGCGTGCTGGTGCCGCATGAGCGCGCCGCCGGGGCTCAGCTCGCCGAGCGCGCCGACGTGTGACGTAGTGCGGTGTGTGTGTGTACGTATGTGTGCGTGTGTACTCACGCGCCATGCTGGCGGCGTGCTGGTGCCGCATGAGCGCGCCGCCGGGGCTCAGCTCGCCGAGCGCGCCGACGTGTGACGTAGTGCGGTGTGTGTGTGTACGTATGTGTGCGTGTGTACTCACGCGCCATGCTGGCGGCGTGCTGGTGCCGCATGAGCGCGCCGCCGGGGCTCAGCTCGCCGAGCGCGCCGACGTGTGACGTAGTGCGGTGTGTGTGTGTACGTATGTGTGCGTGTGTACTCACGCGCCATGCTGGCGGCGTGCTGGTGCCGCATGAGCGCGCCGCCGGGGCTCAGCTCGCCGAGCGCGCCGACGTGTGACGTAGTGCGGTGTGTGTGTGTACGTATGTGTGCGTGTGTACTCACGCGCCATGCTGGCGGCGTGCTGGTGCCGCATGAGCGCGCCGCCGGGGCTCAGCTCGCCGAGCGCGCCGACGTGTGACGTAGTGCGGTGTGTGTGTGTACGTATGTGTGCGTGTGTACTCACGCGCCATGCTGGCGGCGTGCTGGTGCCGCATGAGCGCGCCGCCGGGGCTCAGCTCGCCGAGCGCGCCGACGTGTGACGTAGTGCGGTGTGTGTGTGTACGTATGTGTGCGTGTGTACTCACGCGCCATGCTGGCGGCGTGCTGGTGCCGCATGAGCGCGCCGCCGGGGCTCAGCTCGCCGAGCGCGCCGACGTGTGACGTAGTGCGGTGTGTGTGTGTACGTATGTGTGCGTGTGTACTCACGCGCCATGCTGGCGGCGTGCTGGTGCCGCATGAGCGCGCCGCCGGGGCTCAGCTCGCCGAGCGCGCCGACGTGTGACGTAGTGCGGTGTGTGTGTGTACGTATGTGTGCGTGTGTACTCACGCGCCATGCTGGCGGCGTGCTGGTGCCGCATGAGCGCGCCGCCGGGGCTCAGCTCGCCGAGCGCGCCGACGTGTGACGTAGTGCGGTGTGTGTGTGTACGTATGTGTGCGTGTGTACTCACGCGCCATGCTGGCGGCGTGCTGGTGCCGCATGAGCGCGCCGCCGGGGCTCAGCTCGCCGAGCGCGCCGACGTGTGACGTAGTGCGGTGTGTGTGTGTACGTATGTGTGCGTGTGTACTCACGCGCCATGCTGGCGGCGTGCTGGTGCCGCATGAGCGCGCCGCCGGGGCTCAGCTCGCCGAGCGCGCCGACGTGTGACGTAGTGCGGTGTGTGTGTGTACGTATGTGTGCGTGTGTACTCACGCGCCATGCTGGCGGCGTGCTGGTGCCGCATGAGCGCGCCGCCGGGGCTCAGCTCGCCGAGCGCGCCGACGTGTGACGTAGTGCGGTGTGTGTGTGTACGTATGTGTGCGTGTGTACTCACGCGCCATGCTGGCGGCGTGCTGGTGCCGCATGAGCGCGCCGCCGGGGCTCAGCTCGCCGAGCGCGCCGACGTGTGACGTAGTGCGGTGTGTGTGTGTACGTATGTGTGCGTGTGTACTCACGCGCCATGCTGGCGGCGTGCTGGTGCCGCATGAGCGCGCCGCCGGGGCTCAGCTCGCCGAGCGCGCCGACGTGTGACGTAGTGCGGTGTGTGTGTGTACGTATGTGTGCGTGTGTACTCACGCGCCATGCTGGCGGCGTGCTGGTGCCGCATGAGCGCGCCGCCGGGGCTCAGCTCGCCGAGCGCGCCGACGTGTGACGTAGTGCGGTGTGTGTGTGTACGTATGTGTGCGTGTGTACTCACGCGCCATGCTGGCGGCGTGCTGGTGCCGCATGAGCGCGCCGCCGGGGCTCAGCTCGCCGAGCGCGCCGACGTGTGACGTAGTGCGGTGTGTGTGTGTACGTATGTGTGCGTGTGTACTCACGCGCCATGCTGGCGGCGTGCTGGTGCCGCATGAGCGCGCCGCCGGGGTTCAGCTCGCCGAGCGCGCCGACGTGTGACGTAGTGCGGTGTGTGTGTGTACGTATGTGTGCGTGTGTACTCACGCGCCATGCTGGCGGCGTGCTGGTGCCGCATGAGCGCGCCGCCGGGGCTCAGCTCGCCGAGCGCGCCGACGTGTGACGTAGTGCGGTGTGTGTGTGTACGTATGTGTGCGTGTGTACTCACGCGCCATGCTGGCGGCGTGCTGGTGCCGCATGAGCGCGCCGCCGGGGTTCAGCTCGCCGAGCGCGCCGACGTGTGACGTAGTGCGGTGTGTGTGTGTACGTATGTGTGCGTGTGTACTCACGCGCCATGCTGGCGGCGTGCTGGTGCCGCATGAGCGCGCCGCCGGGGCTCAGCTCGCCGAGCGCGCCGACGGCCGCGCCCGCGCCCACGCGCACCGGTCGCGAGCACTGCTGCCCGCTTGACCACGCCTGCCACAGCCACAAATTACCACTTACTACTGACTACCAATCTCATCCAGTGGTCAAAATTCGACCGTGATTAATTAAATTTTTAGTTTTTTTAAGCAAGCCGTCAAGTTGTTATATCAAACAGAAAGTCGATGGATGCAGATGGCTCAGGACCGTGCTTTATGGCATTCCTTGATAGAAACCTACGTTCAGCAATGGACTTGTGATTAGTTGTAATGATCATGATAATGAATGCAAGCTGTATTTCACTTTCAATTACACATCTACGTTTTTACGTGGTAAAGCCATGCTGTAGCTACATAGTTGTAGCACGAATGGGTCGACTCGACCGAGAAGCACTACTGACATAACAATGTGGAAAAAGTTTCTTCGTATTTTTGTTTTTATTTTTGTTTGTATAAAATTGAAGAAAACTCTCTTTGTTTGTAATGTTTCTATTTGGCTGGTTTTAATGTCAATATATATAGAATATTAAGAAAAATATAAAAGTAAAATACATAATATCATAAGTCGGAGAAATAGATTCCTCTTATTTTGTTTGTATAAAATTAGTTGTACTGTTTGTATCTTGCTGGTTTTAATATCAATACATATAAAACACTAAGAAAAATAAAAAGCAAAAAACACTTTACCGCCATTTTTTAAATGTTTTTCTGTCCACCAAAATTAGTGAATCTAACGAAGAAATACGATACATTCTGAAGTTTTATTACAAAAAAGGGAAAAATGCTACTCTAGCCGCGAAAAAAAATTAGTAACGTTTATACACTGTCAATAAGAGTAGCACAAAGTTGGTTCAAGCATTTTCAGTCCGGGAATTTTGACTTCAAAGATGCAGCTTGCTCTGGTCGCACTCATAATGGATAAACTCGATGCCATTTTTGAATAATTTAAAATTTTGTACAACCGACTTCAATATAAATAAACCTAGCAAGCTAACAGCATAGCAAAGTGGCGAAGCAATCAGCTTTGTAGCGGTTTCTAACGGTTGCCGTTGAGCAATCAGTTTCAAAATAGGAGGTTCAGATGCCTGGGTGATCAGTAATCGATTGCTGAAAACAGAATTTGAAAATTCAAAACCGTTCTCGAGATAATCGTGGGACAGACGGACAGATATCGTGAAATCAATAAGTGACTTCGCAAGCGTCGCCACTTAATTATTAAGAATATTTATTTATTGGCCATTTCGTTACATTATATAACATTGGTGCGTCAAAATTACAATTCAAATGATATAAGATTACAATAAATTATTAAAATCACAAATTAATATACATCTACATTTACATTTACATTATTTTACATGTTACGCAAGTCAGAAAATGAACATTTCATATATTCTTCTATATTATAGAAAGCGTGATTAAAAAATAATGTTTTTGTAACTTGTCGAAACGCGTTTAGTGGAAGTCTTGTTATTTCTAAACTCAATTTATTGTACATTTTGATTTTTAATGGAAAACCTTGCTTGGACGCTTTGACTAATCTGGTTCTTGGAACAACCTAATCTTTCGTGATTTTTTGAATTGGAGTGTAGTGTAGTGTACGTGCATCTTCATTGATAGTTCACTTTTTTGCTGATGCACTTCCAGAAGCGAACTATAAATATACAACGACACGACAGTCATGATTTTCGCTTTTTGGGAATAGGCTCTTGCTGGTGTCAATCTTTGCAATCCATGTATAATTCTAATCGACCTTTTTTGACAAATCAGTACTCTTTCAATTTGTGAAGCATTACCCCATATCGTAATCGCGTAGCTAATAATTGAGTGCCAATATGCAAAATAGACGGATATTAGAGTTTTCCTGTCAATAATGGGCTTAAGCTTAAATAAGGCGTAATTTGCACTGGATAACTTTTCACAAACATTATCTATATGGGTTTCATAACTTAAAGTGGAATCGAGAGTGCACCCTAAAAATGTAACTTCACTATTTGTGACTTTATTTGTTTTTTTTTTTTTGCTTGCATAATTAATTATGGTACTTTTTTCAGCATTCAAAATTATTTCGTTTGCTTCAAACCATTTTCTAAGTATACTTAAAATTTCATCTGTCTTCTTGGCTACTTGAAATGCGTTTTTATCTTTAATACCAACTTGTGTATCGTCCGCAAATAGTGTAACCATCGCCCAGTCAGGTAAATTTTCTGCAAGGTCATTCACGTAAATTAAAAACAGCAATGGTCCCAGGATGGAGCCCTGCGGTTGTGGATCGGACTTAGTATTATTTAGATTAACTATTTAAATTCGATTGTTAAGATAAGACTGCATTATACTCAATTCTTTTCCTTCAAATCCGTAAAATTTCAGTTTATGAATTAAGATATCATGCCGCAAACAATCGAAAGCCTTGGATAAATCACAAAAAATGATAGATACCTTCTGTGATCCATCCAAAGCGTCCAATACGAAGTATACTGTTTTTCTAATAGCCATTTCAGTTAATCTTTTTTTGCGAAAACCAAATTGACAGTCTGTAAATAGATTTTTTTTTTCAAAGTAATCTAATATCCTAGATTTTATGGCAGTTTCTAAAATCTTTGATATAACTGGTAATATACACACTGGTCTGTAGTTCCCAATTTCAGTAGTTTCTCCTTTTTTGAACAGTGGCACGATTTTTCCTATTTTTAAGCCATCTGGGAATATCCCATCTGTGATGCAATCATTCAAGACTTCCAATATTATATCAAGCATGTTTTTGTTGTGGATGATAAGTTCTCTAATAGTTTTAGTTGACATATCGTATATGTCTCTTAATGTTTTACATTTTAAACTATTTATAATATTCCAAAATTCGGATTTACTTATTTTAGGAAAGCTAATTTTATTTTTTGTTGGGTTTCTTTTGATATTTGCTACAATTATCAACATTAATGTCTAAATTTTCTGTAAGTACTGGCTATATTGCAAAAGAACTCATTGAAACTGTTTGCTATATTTTTATTATTTGTGATTATGTCTCCACTGTGATTTTTAATTTTAGTAATTTTATTTTTACCTTGTGTTTTTATTTAATTTTTTTTGTTCTTTAATAATTGTCCAAGTGGTTTTAATTTTATTCGTGGAATTTTTAATTGTTGATGCGTTCCGAAGTTTTTGAGCTGTTTGAAGTACTTTTCTATATATTTTCCATTATTTAGTTTGAATTTTCTAATTTTATCTGAATACAAGTTATGTAATATTTCGAGTTTTTGAAGATTATTTTTAGATATCAAAATACCTTTGGTTGTTAGTTTATGCTTGTTACTTCTGGGTTTAAATGTTTTTAATAGAAATGCAGTGTAGTGACAATAGTTTATATGGTATATCAGAATGCTCATTTTCTCATTTGCGTCAAGTTTCAAGTTTATATCATTTCTTACATATTCAAAATCTTTACAGAACAAATAATGAAAATATTTTATATTTTCCTGAGATATTATTCGAGATTTGACCTCAGTCTTCTCCTTTGGTTTAGGATAGTTAGAATTCAATTTATACTTTAATTCTATGACATTATGATGTGATAACTTTACGTCTAATACTTTACCTCTGTGATACTGAAAATCATCATCGTCATTTAAGATGAAATTATCAATACATGTGGAAGACTGGCCTTTAATTCGGGTTGGCTCATTTGAGACAAATTTACATTTCAATTCACTCAGTAGTTTAAAAATTTGCATACTTTATTATTTGGGTTCAATATATTTAAATTAAAATTTCCTGTAATTACAATTCTTTTGTTTTCCTTACCTATTTTTTCAAGAACTTTTGTCATAATATCTTCGAATATTAAATAATCATAATCAGCTCTATATACACAAATAATAACAAATTTATACGATTTTACTTCAATTGTCACTAATTCAAAATTCATTTCAAAACTCAATTTTACAATGTCATGTCTTACTTTATTTTATTTTATCTTTATTTATATTCAAGTGTATTTCTAACAAAAATAGCTGTACCTCCATGTTCAAATAACATCATATTGTAATATGACACAAGTATATAGCCTTCGATATTCATTACATCTAACTTTAATTCATTCGTCCAAGTCGCCGTTAGACAAAGCACGTCACAAGTTGTATTTTCGGTTAATAACTCAAAAACTATTGGTCAGACCTTGATCGAATTTATATGGGACCACATAAAAAGCACCAGCTTTCAAATAAAAAAGAATCATCGAATTCGGTTCATCCAGAAAAGTTATGAGGTGTATATAACACACATAAAAAAAAAGAACATACAGGCGAATTGAGTAACTCCTCCTTTTTGAAGTCGGTAGAAAAGTGGAACAATATCGGCAGCCGAGGAATTGAGGATGAGGATTGACTAGAAAACAGTTTTGACCAATTTGAAAAAGTCTGGCTATACAAAGAAACTCGAAATTTGGGTACCACACGAGCTCACTGAAAGAAACCTAATGAATCGTGTACTCATTTGCGATTGAAACGTTATCAAATTGAACCATTTATCACTAGTGATGATAAATGGATCACCTACGTGCAAAAAAGATCATGGTCAAAGCGTAGTCACGCTCCACAAATAGAAACCCGAATTAACACGCAATAAGGTGATGCTGTGTGTATGGTGGGATTGGAAGGGCATCGTTTATTATGAGCTTTTACAGCCCCAGGCAAAACTATCGATTTGGACCTTTACTGCCAACAACTAATGAGACTCGACTCAAGCAAGAAATTGAGAAAAAACGGCCGGAATTAATCAACAGAAAAGGAGTGCTCTTTCATCATGATAACGCCAGACCACACACATCTTTGGCCACTCAGCAAAAATTGAGATAGTTTGGTTGGAAAGTTTTAATGCATCCACCATATAGTTCTGACCTTGTACCTTCCGATTTTCACTTGTTTCGGTCTCTTTAGAATTCTTTGGGTAGTGTTAGATTAACATCAAGAAAGGACTGTCAAAACTACTCGTCGCATTTTTTTGATCAAAATTCCGAAGATTTCTACATCAACGGGATTATGTCACTACCGACAAGATGGCCACAAGTTATGGAACAAAATCGCATTATAATTTTTTAAAGAGTAGCCAAATTTTACATTGATGTTCAAATAAATAAATTATTATATACCGATATTACATTTTCTTATAAATACGAGTAAATAAGGCTTCTACTTTTATTTAAAATTATCCCAAATTGAATGTGATTTTTGGGCAATAGCTAATCTTACGAGGGCGCCTGTATGTGTGTGTGTGATTCAATTCATGTTTTCGTTTCTCAAGTTTTGTCTACTGTTTACTTAGTGACACGCTTACTACTTATGCTTAAGATAATAATTACATGACGAATTCCGATTCCAATTTTCCTTTTACACTTTTAACGGGCTTAGGTTCGTCATAATAAATTAAATTAAAAAGTATATTTTTGCTTATCCACGACGTAACCGACGACTGTTCTTGTTATAGCGTATTTAAAAATTGGAACAAACTATTAAATTGCGCATGTAGTCCCAATATCTAATATCGGCACCTCAAAATGGAATCTGACGACGTAGGACGATAGTATCGACTGACGAGACGAGAATAACCGAACTGTTTGCTTCCACGCAGCCGGGGGCTTCTGAAGATTGCCGAATGGTTACGGGTCAACGGGCCACATTCTTTATGCATAGACGAGCACGTCTTATTAAAATATGTTTTACACTTATTACCTGTTCTTGAGCACTTTTAACTTCCATGAACGCAGCAATAATTTTACTGTAGCGTAACTTTACACGACGTAAACACGACTTTTTATACACAGCTAACAGACTAACGGTGAAAGTTCCGGCGAGTTTGCAGATTCACTATTTAAGTTATCGCTCACTGCACTTTAAATTCAATTAAATTTATTTCTTTCTCAAGGCATACTAAATAATAAAGTAATAAAAACGTGAATAGTTTGATTCGATTGGCAGGTTAATTACGACCGTACGCTGATTTCTTACCGCGGTAAAGACTCACTTTAGTATCTTTGTATGTACCAGGTAAACTTTCATTGCTTAAAATGTAATATTCACATGTAATATCACGATTTCACAGTTTCATAGTATCCGCGGTTCGAATATTTTCGTTACATCATTTGTAACGAAGTGTACTTAATGAGGTCACGGTCAACACTGTCAGCTGTCGGCCGGGCGAGCAGACATAGGTACTTACGGTGTAACGGTAGAACGGCGAGGAAAGACGCGCAACAAAGTACTTTACTGAGCGTAAGGGTTTACGAATGTGTGCATGCAAGGTAAAATCAGTTAAAATAATGCATTACCACGCATTTTGAAATTAAAAGATAAAGAGGACAGATTGTTTGAGATTTCTTAAATTAATTTTTCTTCACCATTTGCCTATATTACTTATTCTGTACCTTCTCCGCAAATTTGGCTGGTAATTGCAAAATAACACTGTATATATTATAATTAAATGTAATTAAACTTTGAAAAAAAAGTCCTGAATTTGTAAATAAAATAAGAAGAAACTTTTTCCTCGACCTTATATGTAACTGTACTGTTGTATGAAAATATGTAAATGTACTGACTAATGACTACCACTAAAGTAGTAAAATAGTAAAATAGAAGCTTAATGTTGCTGTTTCGTATAGTGAGTGTAGAGAACCGGAGAACTTTTTTATTGAAAACGAGGCATTACATCTTAGTCCTCAGGGGTGACAACGCATCCGCATTTTTATTCTTAACTTAGAATAGATTTGCAAATCTATGGCCCTCAGCATCCACTTACTATCAGATAGACTGTGTTTTCGTTTGTCACCGTTTTCTAAAAAAATGCTCCATAAAATTATGTTTCATCGCTGGTATTACTGTCAGTGTTAATTCTAAGCTAATTTCGTTAGATATAATTTATATTCTGCGTTTATATCACTCTTTTTGTATTTTAGAACACAACAAATAAACTTCAAACCCTGCAAAAAACTCTGCTTCGACACTTATTGACATCTATTTTAGGCACTATAATACAACAAAAACGAGTGGACTTGACATAACCTTATAAACCGTTCCATACTGATATTTGCCTGGCAAATAAATATTGTTCTAGTATGATTAAATATTAATTCTAGTATTGTTTATGCCCAAATTTGGTTATGTTAGGACGTTACCCAATCACGTTCGACTTTGCCAATCGCCCGATCGTACCAGGTGTCACGCGTGTGTCGGAGAGGGGGCAGCGGAAGGGAGCTTCCCAGCGTCTTGGCGGTCGGGCGAGACAGTAGGTGACGGTAGTAGCTTGGGAGCAGAGACCCGGTTAGGCCGAGTGTTTCGGCTACCGCTGCGGAAGTTTGCGCGAGCCCGGTTTCGAGTGATTAGGGACTAGAATTTGGGTTTGGGCGCGGCTTCGCTACGTAATTGTGTTTCGTAAAATCCGCCTCGGATTTGGTGGTCTAGGATTTAGGTTCCCGTACCAGAGGCCTTTATGGGGTTTTACGGTTTAAGTAAATTCTTTGAAAATAATTGTGCATCTTAGCTAGATGAAGTGCGTGTGAATGAGGCGTATTTTTGACTCTGGCGCGACGTTTGTTCTGGTGTCGAATGAAGGAACAAAAAAGTTGTGTTTAACGCTGAATCTGTCGGGTGTCACGTGTTCGATTCTACGATGAATGTGGAATTAGGCGAATTTAAGTTAGTTAAATGTACAATGAAACTAAGAAACTGAATTAGTGACAACGAAGAAAGAAGTGGTCCGGCGCTGAAGCAGTCTAGAGCGATGCAGTATTTTGGAGCAGCCTGGAACTCGGCCGCTGCTGGTCGCCTATGCTTGCCAAGGCCCCACACATTCACACATCACTGTACACTACTCGCCATCCACTATTACACACACTCACGGCCTGCCCAAGCCTTGGTGCGAAGTTAGCTTCGGATAATGGTAAGTACTATGTGTTTCTAGCTTTCTCCCATATAGTTTATTGTGATAGAACATATTCCACGTGGCCATATTGAGGCCCGACCTACGTCTGCTCGTGAAGTCTTCTGCTGAATGGGCCCCAGAGGATTTGTGCCTTTGTAGGAGCAGCCGTAGGCCGTAACAAGTATGAAAAAAAGATTTAAATTTTATTCATCATTCACTCCACTACTCGCGTATAGTTATCCTAAGCTATTCTTTAGATTGCACGGAAAACAATACACGACTTTACTCGAGCTTTAAATCGTGGATTAGCGTATCTCGTATAAATGGAGATAAGGTCGAATCCACCCTTAGGAAGCGAAATTTAATCGTAATTCATTAAACTTTTAAGTTTGTATATTAAGAAAGCTGCATTTTCTTTCTACTGCAATATATGTATAATAAATAATTAAACACAAATCGCTAATATACAAAAAATAATTTATCAATTTTTTGCCTTGACATACCCGCTACTTTCATTGGTCTGTACTCTACTCTATACTTTCAATATTCTGTACTCTACTCTACAGATTACTGAAAAAGGAACATTTGAAATCACATAAAATTCACAGCTTATTCAGTCGTTATTCTGTCAGTAATTTTTTGTTGGCTACATTTTAAAATTACTAGTCTACAATCTCTACTCTGTGCGACTCTTTAACCATAGACCATTATGTGTTTGATAATTTAAATTGGCAGTATGAAGGTTAACAATTTATGTTTTATTTTATTTTATAATAAATATAAATTTTAGCTTTCTGAACTTCTAACTATTTCAAATCTCACACTCTTCCGTGCACGCAATAAGCTTGAAAACAAAACAATGTATTAGCTTACCTGACATACTGAAGCAAGGGCTGATAATGGCGGTGGGTTGGCGGTATTCGTTGTTTGACTCATTTGTGAAGCGGGACCTAACAAATATCTCTCTACCTAAAAAGGCAAAAACATCTATTTAAGAATCAAGTTAGATTACAAAATTAGCGTTGCTTAAAGTAACAGCCCATACACACGAGTGGCTCGAAGCATCTTAGACCTCAGGGTTGGCGACGAATTTGCAATCTGCAGTGGTTGGGCCACAGTTACAGTTACTTACCATCAGGTTAACGGTACGCTAGTTTGCCTTCTTCATGATATAAAAAAATCTAACGGAACAAATAGTGTGGTATTAGAGTTGGCTGGTGCCCTCGGCTAATCGGCTTCTATTGTTCGCCAACACTAGAAAGTAAGAGATCTGGAAATGATCTGAGCAAATGACAGTTTCTTGTGGGAAAGGTAAGCCTATTACAAAAGTTCTTCCATGTATCCCTTAAACTCTGATCTTTTGTCGCAATATTAAGTTATAATCTCAATTTTAATGTTAAACTATATTATAATAAAGCTCACAATATATATCAAAAAACATAATCTCAAAAATGATTATATGGACGAAAGACATGGCTGTATAGACCATATGCCTTTGCCATTTTCTACCGACTTCAAAAAGGAGACTCAATTCGACTGTTTTTTTTTATAGGATAGGGTGACAAACGAGCACACAGTCCACCTGATGGTAAGTGGTTGCTGTGACCCATATACATCCACATCTATCCTAAATAAAGAATCAAAATGCAGATGCGTTGTCACCAGATAGGACTAAGATGGAATGCCTCTTTTCAAGTAAAAAGGGGTTTTTTATGTGTGTTACCCCATAACTTTTTTCTCGGTCAACTGATTTCGATGGTTATTTTTTTATTTGAAGGCTGGTGCTTCTCGTGTGGTTCCATATAAATTGGATCAAGGTCTGATTAATAGTTTTGAGTTATTCTTAATAATTGATATTGAAGTCGGTTGTACAAAATGTTTAATTTTAAATTATTACCGATAACTTTCGCCCTGGATTGTAAAAAGTCGTGGATGCTCTTATTGTAATCGATTTTATTAAGGAATCTCTATGACCACACATTTACTATCTGCTTACCTTTGATAATTTCAATTCCTGCGCATCCTGATTCGCATTTGTATCTACTAAATCTTCATAGTGTATCTTCTCTAATATCCTCTTCTTCTTCTCTACTGGCTCTGTGCTACACTTATCCTCCGGTGGCCTCTTCTCCGTTACCCCGTTGGATTCTCTCACACCGTTTTCTACTACTTTGTTATTATTGTTTGTTGTTTTACTACTACTATTACTATTACTAGAGTTTGTTTTATGACTAGCTTTGAGCACCTGGAAAAAAGAACATACGATATGTATTAAACTAAATATATATACTACGTGATCAACGCTAAAACGTCATTAAAACTACGGCGGGAACACGGAACGGTGATTGGTCACTAGGGGAAGCGCGGGGTGCGGGCGCCGAAACCACATTCCTGTCATGCACCTAATTGTTTTGGCCAAGTTGTACTAATTTCAATCTGATTACGGAAGTTCTGTTATAAAATCCCAGAAAATGTACAAAATTTGTCAATGAACAAGTTTAAATGTTTTATTAAAGAAAAATTGCACAAAAAGGGTTATTATTATTATTATATCAAAAGAATATATATAAATGAAAATAACCCCTGGGAATGAGGCGATCCAACATGCTGGTTCTATTAAAATTCATTTAAAAATTGTACAAACATAATCATTATAAAGTGAAATATGTTTAAAAAAATCCCCTTGGTTTCTTGCTGGTTCTTTCCAGGACTTCCTTTTCAGAGGTATTTTCCGAACCATTGGTAAATAAAAAAATGACTTTCAATAAGTATTATGTAATAATCTATATTGAATAAAAATTATTCTATTCTATTCTGTCCACACTACACAAATAGGTTAGAATAGATGACACTGTTTGTGCATTCAAACAACACAAGCAACTTACCATAATAGAGTGTTGGTTAAACCGTTTAATCATGTTGCGATGTATTGAGGTACTGTCGCCACGTTCCTTTTCGTGTGGCGCATCATCCTCGGTGGGCAAAAGGGGCACTGGCTCTATAAATTGTGGGATGTCGACCTAGGTAAAATAAATTAACAATTACATGTCTACATTGTTACAGTATATAAATAAAAAATAAGACACAAAACATACTGTGAGATCTAGTGGAGTATGCTTCATAGCTGAGGCAATGGCTTGGTCATCCATTTTGGCACATTCACCAAACAAGTCTTTACTAGAAGATGAAGCTATCCTATCCCTGTAAAAAAAAAATATATATAATTATATTCTTTGAGGTAGAAAACGAAAAATTTTAAAGTTCATGTTAAGATGGAAGCAAAGAACAATATAAAGATTTTTTGTTGTGATTACTTTGAGGAAAAGACTATTAAACCAAAATAGTCTTTTCCCCAAAGTAATCACAACAAAAAATCTTTTAAAGTCATCAAGTATAGATTCATCATCATCATTACAGCCCTTCACAAGTCCACTGCTCAACATTGGTCTCCCCCAAGGAATGTCACAAAGCACGGTCCTGAGCCACCTGCATCCATTGACTTCTTGCATGTCTTACCAGGTCGTCACTCCATCTACTCGGGGAACTCTCTACACTTCGCCTGCCAGTACAAGGCTGCCATACGAGAACCTTCCTTCCCGATCGGTTGTCGGTTCCTCGAGCTATATAGCCAGCCACTTAGCTTACTAATCCTTTTGGCTATGTCGATTACTCTGGTTCTATTGCGGATATCCTCGTTTTTAAGTTTATCAAGCATAAGTACAGATTATACAGGGTTATTTTTCAACGAGTATCGAAATTTTTTATTTAAGTTCTATTATATAAATAATGATATACCATTATTGCAATTTCTGAAAATACGAAAAGTTACTTTTACTTGAAATTATCCCAAATCGAAAGTGATTTATGGACAACAACTAAGGGCGCTATTCCGTGTGCAATTCAATTCATAACGTTTTTGCTGACTGAAATTTGGGCGTATATTGCAAAAATTACCCTGTAATAAGATATTTATAATACAGTTTACACATTATATTATATTATTAATATAGCTCATAGTTATTTATAAATAACTATGAGCCTATTTCGTGCCAAGAGAGCTAGAGGTGACTATAGGATATGCTATAAATAACTCATTCCGATAGATGGCGGTATCTTGTTAACGGCAGGTGTAAAATACCCAGACTGGTAAGGGGTTGCAGTGCCAAAGACGGTATGAGGTGTCTGAATCTGCTATCGTCAACCCACCTGCCAAGTCAATGTCCAGCAGTGCACTTTTACGACCTGATTATAATAAAATAATGATGTTGTTGATGATGATGATGAATTAAAATACTATTTACTGTATCCCAAATTCATAAAAACATTTAAACATTTCGTTTTTTACTACATTCCATTATTATACGAAGTAAATCTAAAGACTTTTTCTATTGCAAACCATTTCTTTAGTAATTTACCAAGGGCCTAGAATGAAATATATTAATACATTACTGAACCAGTGTATTGTTTTATGGTATTTCCATGTTACGTGCATTGTAAAACGGGTCACAAGAGCTATTTTTAATATAGAAATATGGTATTACTGTTCATTTTATGATCAAAAATTCTATAAAGCATGACAATACTGGCAAATATTGTCTTACTGGGCTAGACTAGACTATTAAGCAAAACCTTTAATTACAAAATGTATAAGTTAAAGCCTCTTAAAGAAACGTCAAAATAACATATTTACCTATGAAAGTAATGTGATTGAAAGAACTTCGTCCAAAATTCCGCTTCAGTCATCTTATTAGGCACATAATCAATATGTTTCTTTCTAACTGCTGGATATGTTTTGAATATTGCATCTATTATATCTTGAGTGAGGTTATATTTCAGTCCGTTACATCCGTCTGTTTGTGGTTGAATATCAGCAAGAAATGCTCCGGATACACCTGTATAAACAAACGACAATGGTTCATAATACTACTGCAGCCAATTGAAAGTAATGAAAACCTTTTAGACATTGAAAGGAAAGAGATCTCCTCAGGCAAGATGTTTAGTCTGGGTGCAACCAACACTCAATTGGTGATAACTACAAAAATGGACTCCTACGAAAAAGCTAAAAATTCTAATCATCAGCCCTTTCCCTTTTTCCTTCCTTTCTTCTTCATCAGCCTATTAAACGCTACTGCTGGACATGAACCTGTTGGGGTAGAATTGCCGTTATTGTTCATGACAGTACCTCAGCAGTATTTTACATTTAACATCAACGGAATGGTTATACCTCCATCTATGGAAGGCTGTAAGTTCTTTCCGGCATACGGTATAGTCTACCTCTTACGATACCCTTGGAATGAAAAGGATATGACACAACCACATAGAAGTTTTAGAGTTTAATGAGTTATTTTTATAAGGTTACAATACACTCACCGGCTTCTTGTTTTATGTTACTAGAATCGGTATAATGCTTTAATGTTGGCGTATTCCAATATTCTTCACTGCTAATAACTTTTGATATCACTAAATCTTCATATAAATGTTTTAACGTTGGATGGAGAGACAGCAATCTTAAATAATCAAAGTAAAATATTATAGTGAAAAATTTGTTTTAATGTGTAGCTTTTTAAAATACAAACCTAAAAACCAATAACAGAACATACATAAGTGCATACCTATTTTTAGCACAATAATCAGAATTCAACTGAATAGGCCTATTTTTATTATCCTTTCACTTCCATGTATGGATATAGATAAAGAATCCGAAAAATGAGGTCTAAATATACATAAATTTCACAAGCACAAACATCCAGACCCGGAACAATAATTTATAGGCCATACAAATACTTGGTCTGTGCGGGATTCGAACCCGCGGCCCTCAACGCTGTATCTCATTACTAAGACACCTTGCCATGTTCCTAAGCCACCTGCATCCATCAACTTCTTGCATCTTAGTCCAAGTGCTTATTCCATCTCGTGAGGAGCCGCCTTACAGTAAAAACTGGTACCAGGACCTCACTTCATCGGTTGGTAGTTCTACGAGCTATATGACCGGCTTATTACAACTTTAGCTTATTGATCTGTTCAATACTTTTATAAGCTGATAGACTGATTTATTTAGTGCATTGTGAAGAAAACCACTTGTTAGCAACACCAAACATCAAAATAAACCAAAACATAGACATAGCAACATTCATCTGAATTCTAAATATCTTTAGACCATTATCACTACTGTTGTAGTAGTTGAATATTTTAAAAGGCCAAATATAATCTGTGTTACGGAGTGGCGCACTGAAATGATCGGGAATAGAATATTTCGGATTGAGTTACAACCTACCCTTTTTAGAATTTGAATACCGGCCTCTTAAAATCTTAATGACATTTAAACAATTAAAAAAAAAGGTCAAACCAACGAAAGCGGTTCGCTCCCGCAGCGTGTCAAAGAAAATGGTCACTACATTTGTCTCGGAAGAGGGGCATGTTGCTACAATTCCATTACATGAATGCAGAACGGTTACTGCTGAGTGGTATATCACGGTTTGTTTGCCAGAAATGATAGCCGAACTCCGAAAAAATAACCCGAAACGTCGCATCATCTTACATCACGATAATGCGAGCTCCGATACAGCTCGGAAGACAAATGATTTTTTGAAGCCATACTCCCTACAGTTCTAAGCTGAGCCCAAACGATTTCTTTACATTCCCTAGAATGAAAGATTTATTACGGTTTAAAGACCTCGAAGCAGCTATGGAAGCGTACAAATCAGCCATTTTGTCAGCCATCAACTTCAGTCTGGAATTACTGTTTTAATGATTGGTTTGCACGAATGGAAAAGTGCATTAAGTTGAACGGAGAATACTTCGAAAAACAATAAAATACAATTTTGCTATACCGTACATGTGGTTTTTCTTATTCCCGATCATTTCAGTGTGTTCCTCGTATAATAGAGTTAAAATTGAATATATAATAAAATGCATATGAAAAATTAGTTTAAAAAATTGTTCCTTAGTTGCCATCTACCATCCTTTTCATTACATGGGTAATGTGTAGAATGATTAAACCACATCTGAACAAAATTTCTTGGTATATAATAAGGTTGCCAACATTTCTTTGGCTGACTATAGTATTTTTCAGTATAAACTATATAAAAATACATATAGTACTATATGGAAAGATTAAAAATAGACATTAAATAATAAGAGTAATGAATAGAGGTGTTGCAAAATAAAGATTGATCCATCCAACTGAATCTACTTTCACACACTCTATATTTCTTCAATAGTACATATAGTACCCGAACACGAAATATAATACAATACTTATATATTATAGTATGGTTGGCAACCCTAGTCTCTAATCAACAACAATTAGCCAGACGTAAAAACCAATTACAAAAAGCAACATCTAAAGAGCAAAGCATGTTAACTTTTTCTTTATATTCTACACTAGCTGATACCCGCGACTTCGTCCGCGTTGCTTCATATATTAACAAAGTTTTCATATGTGCGAAGGAAAAAACATCAAAAAGACAAAATTTCCGTTTGTAGCTAAAATATATAAATTATTTGGGTTAGTAACGCGAGAGCAAGCGACTTACATTTGACCGTGTGAAATACCCCATATAAAAATTGTTGTTTCTTAAAACTTTAATAACTATATTAAATGAAGATATTGCAATAATTTTTTTTTTGATAAGGACCAAGTGTCTTAGAAATAAAACATAGAAAACCTAATTGAAATCTATCCAGTCGTTTTTACATGATGCATGCGCACAACTGTTAACTTCTACGGAATTTATTTATATAGATTGAATATTGATAAAAAATGAAAAAAGGCCTAATTCAACAGTGGATTAAATATTTTCCACATTCACTATGAAGTCTCACAGTGCACTCAAACACAGGGTAAAGAAAACTTAATTATAAACAACATTTAAGTAACGAATGACACTACGGGTTCGTTATAATGATAGCTAAATTAGCTTGCTGACTCCTTTTTTTATGACAGGCAGCAAACGAGAATGCGGCTCACCTGATGTTAAGTGACTTTTGCAACACCAGGGGAATTGCAGATGCGTTGCCGGCCTTCACAATGTACATAGGGCGACTGAATGACAAACTACTTGTATATCGTTAGTTTGTTGCATCAGTTATTTAATTGAATTCTTATCATATTCCCTTCAAATTTGTTTTAATTGAAAAATAGGTATTGGTTGCAGTTTTGAAGAAGAATATAATAACTATGTCCTAGAGAAAATAAGCCTACAAATGATCCACACAAGAAAAGTATTATGATATGTGACTATCAAAGTATTTGATCATTACAGTACCACTGATTTTGAAAGTGACTATAGTCTTTTGAAATATATCATTATGAACATAGACAGAGTATATAAATCACTATGCATAGATAATTATTTTGTATAACTACATTTAAACAGATTGTGAAGAGAGAATTTAATAACACAATGACAACCTTGGTGTAGACCTAAACTTGATGTAGTTTGCTTTATCCTTTAACCACAGTGAAATCTCATCATTGATAACCAACTACAGCACCCCATTAAATGCTATATGTACACACCACACGAGTCCTTTGAGTATTGTCCATGAAATTAACGCACTAAGAAATATCTAATTTTCACAGTACTGCATGTGACTATGAGCATGAACATATGTGGAATGTACGAGGACTTTGTACATTCCTATAACTATGATTTAAATATAGCATACACAGTGCCAGTGCATTGCCCTTCTCTTTTCCAAGCTTGCAGGAAAAATTAATTGATAACCACTGGTCTATATGCTATGATAATCATATTAGTTATTAAAATCCTATAAATACTCATAATATACCATTATTTTAAATAGCTACAGCATACCTGGATTTCATCTCTAGCTCACCATCAATCTGTCTTTTGAACTTTGGCAGTAGATTCTGCAGTAAAGATTTAACCTGATCCCTGTCCTTAGCCTGGGCTTCTGCTCCAGCTGGATTGACAAAGTGGAATGTTGAACACGTCCCATCATGTAGTACAACTTGGAGTTGCACTTTTGGCTTCCCCGCTGGTGAGATTTTTTGAGCTAAAAATTAAAAAATGTTAATAATTCATGAAGTATTTAAAATAATCCTATAATAAATGGCTGATGTCACAGCATTTTAGAATTTTTGTCTCTGCCTTAGTAAGGGCAATATTATTACTAATATAAACTATTTCTTATTATAAGTAAACTAAAATATTTTATAAACCATCAAATTTAATTTCTATCAATTGTAATGATCATGAGTGTCATTGTCTCTATGCAAGATAATAAAAGGAGGACGAACAGTTGAACTACTAAGTGGTATAATAAATAGTAATTTGAACTGGAAAATAATTACATCAATAAAAATCTCAAAAATACTTATTCTTGAGACATTTGGATCAAAACTAAAAATGACAACACATTTCCATAAAGAAGTAGCTAATGAAGCATACACACCCACAACCAACCTCAAAGAAGGCCATAGAAACATTATCATCACACATCAGGACTTATTATTATTATTATATATTATCAGGCAGGCAGTTGAGACAACTTATAATCCCTTGTGTGTGTATCCTTATAATGTAATGATATATCTTTCTCCACGTCAGTCCTTCATTCAGCCTAGGATTATATTATTCTTTCACTCTATAAACCGAATTTCAGCAGTAAGTACACCATTGCTTAGTGGCAGCAATAGTTAAAATGAGAGCTATATCCCTTTTAAAAGACAGGCGGGTTAGAACAGCAGTTTTTATTATTTTAAGTTGTGATGAGGCCACCCATCTCTTATTTAAATTCTCTTATGTCGGCTCATAAAACATCTACAGGATTATTTTATACTACCTCTGCATGGTTACCCACAGTTTTTTAAATTGTTCTAACTTCTAAATATTATAATGGTTCATGGAGCAAAGCATCTTGTAATCTCTAATCTATGCAAAATGATTGCAGTAAATAATCAAAATTAGTGGCATACAAAACCATATTTATGATGCTAATATTTAGAAAAAGAATAATTAAAAATATTTTAAACAACACAGTGACCAGCATGAAGCATGTCATAAAAACTATTCATTTCATAAAAGTGCATTTCTGCTTCATCTCCTTTATAAGCTTGTAAACAGTTTACTATTAGATGCCTTCCCTATAATACATCGAACCATAATCACTATATTTATAGGTAGAGCCATGCTGCAGCTATATTATTAGTATAGTTGTAGCACAAATGGGTCGGCTCGACCGGGAAAGGACCACACTCTCACAGAATACAAGTGCAAAATAGCAGCATAACGCTGCTGTGTTTCGTATGGTGAGTGTAGAGAACTGAAGACCCTTTTTTACTGGAAACGAGGCATTTCATCTTAGTCCTCACGGGTTGACAATGCATCTGCATTTTGATTTGTAATCGAGGATAGATGTAGATGTCTATAGGCCACAACAACCACTTGCCATCAGGTGAACTGTGTGCTCGTTTGTCAGCCTTATTCTATAAAAAAAAATTGGCAAGCAGATTAGCAATAAGTATAGTAGATATTACATCTTGCTATCTGTACTATTTCTAAATGTTTTCATACTTATTTGTATGAAATTATTATTTTGCAAATTATCCTTTTTTAAATATGTCCTTCAGGGTTTCTTGCTGGTTCTTCCCAGGACAGAGGTTTTTCAGTAGCAAAGCTTAAATGACTTCCAATAAGTATTCTTGTAATCCGATAAGTATAATTAAAAAAAAACTAAAAGAAATGGACATAATAGCGACCTAAAAATATTACTAGAACACAACTTTTTAACAAATTGCATACTAAGGATTACTTTACCTTAAACCCTTACATAATTATAACAAAACATCACACTTCATGCTAAAATGAAATGATTGATGATATTATTAAAATGGGTGTCCTATGTCCCACAATGGAACGTTTATACATCTGGCCACAATTACTGTAGTAGGGAACCCCATAAATGTAACAAAACACATAAATCCACAATTTTGAACAACAAAGTACTTACTTTTTATATCAGCATATTTATGCGAAACAGCAACAGTGTCTCGATTCTCCAACATCCAAGCTAATCTCTGATTCATCACATATAGTGTCCCATCTCCTTTTTTATATCTTACATATCCTACGCTCAACAATACATCTTCCGAAGAGGTAGTCATGTTTAACAACGAGAGTCGAGAGTTCTTGCAGTGATCACCAACAATACAATGGGGGGTTGAACTTACGGGGATTTTTTAAGATTATTGCAAGACCTGGACTGAGGACGAAATCAAAGGTCCAAAATATTCTCATTTATAAACATTTATTTTCTTTATTGTTCAAATTTCTATATATTTACAGCTAATTTAAACGAACAATTCAATTTTCTTGTATAAAAATGATGAAATACGCAAATACTTATTATTTCTTATTACAAAAGCACATCGTCAAATACCATTTGCGGTTTTGTTTGACAAAGTGTCAAACGCTTTTAGTGTTGATAGAATAAAAAATTAAAATCATTGCTGTCAAATAAACTGGATTGCAGATAAAGAATACATTCTGGTGATGATCTTGAGGTTCCGGGTTCGAATCCCGTGTCGGATCAAAATCAGTTATTGGGTTATTCTGACAAGAAATTCTGAGCAGCAGGCTGGAGTTAGAAAGCTTGCGGTGTTACACCTCCGTGCCTCGGAAACCACGTAAAGCCGTTGGTCCTGCGCCTGATCTCCCTCCGGTCATGTCATTACTGTCCTATCGGAATATAAGAGTGAGGGAATAGAGAGTGCACATCACATACACTCGAGCACTATGATCCCGTCCTACGCAGACGATTAGTCTCCGTTGAGACTGGCCGCCGTGACCAAAATTCGGTCTGGAGGACATTATTATTATTATGAAGGTGATTACGCCAGACGTGAACTAATTAGACCGATGATAAGAAGCAGGGCTAAAGGTCTGAGACGTTTGACACTGCTATTGTCAGTTCGCCTGCCAAACGTGACGATTTAGAAAAAACTCCTATAAAGGGAGGGGCTCATGCTCAACAGTAGGCTTTTATGGACTGATGATGATGAAAAGAAGACTTAATAAGTTATTATAATAATATGCATTTTGCACAAATAACATGTAATAAAAACCCTGTCCGATCTAAAAGGATTACAGAAGTATACCAATAACCTATAAGTATATGGCAAACATGATATGTAAACCATGATTCAAAAAGTAATATTATAAACTATATTTCATATATGTGCAATTTCCACAAAACAAGTAAACATAATAAAACTTGATACTACTAATAATAACTATAATGTCCCTAACTCATGTCAATCCAAGGTTTTTGTAAGAGGCGACAGAGATCGGAGAGCAACTAATGTTACTGAAACATAAAAGGACAGCATCTTCGTAATAAAAATAAAAAAAACTACTGTTGCTAACACAGGTTGCTAAGCCCCTTGCCAAGCGTAGCATGTAATATGGCAAATCCCTCTATGAGGCACACTGTGGAGGAGGAAGGATATGTTCTGCTATTGACTTTTGATAGGCTAAATGAATAAATGAGTATATAATGATCGCAACGTTTTGGTTAAGCTGATATTATATTGTCATTCTCAGTGAATGTGTTAACCCATAGAGCAACACGGACCACCAGTATAGTGCGCGCAAAATAAATCTGCGCGCGGCCAAAATTGTAACTAATCGTGTATCGTCATCTTACTGTTTATGGCAGGTGTCAAAACATAGTGTTAGGTGTCGTGTTTTTATTCGTTTTTGCAGTAAATAATCGCCATAATTTTGCCGAAAGTGGTTAAAATTGCTGGCAGGGATATTATCTTGAAGGTCAAACGCGCTTGTAAAGAAGAACGAGACAATAACGGGCCTACAGTACCGTTTTCCAAAGCTAGAGCCCACGTTTCATATTTCACAGGTAATTTTTAGGGCTGCCATAACAAAAAATACTCCGTAATTTTCTCCACTTGTTCGTTTTTAGTTTCCTCGTGTCATTAATAGTATTTATAGTGCATTGTTTTTATTATGTTTTAAGTGTTTCTGAACGCACCGTCACCCAAATAACTGAAGAGGGTACATAATGTAGTAGCAGCTTCATCTTCTAAAATTGTGACGCCGGGAAAAACTAGGAACCGGAGGAAAACATGGTTTAGACGATTTTCATATGTGGCGCTATAAGGCATTTAAATCAATCGTTTGATGTCGTAAAGAATTAGATTCCTGCCATAAACTTTGGTTGGAATTGAAAGCTGACATTGATTTTAAATATGGCAGAACATCGTTGAGTAGTAGCTTAAAAACTATGGGCTACAAATACAAAAGGTGCCAGTTTAAACGAAAAGTATTGATAGAACGCAGTGATATTGCAGCTTGGAGAGCAAAATATATTCTAAGAAGAATATATTTTCTCTATCCCATTATCTAATATAAATTACCTAAGAATCGTCAGGAATTTGTGCCAAATCTACCAACAAATTTCATTGTAATGATGGATAATGCATCATACCACACACACTCACCGGCACGGAAACTTGGCCACTCGTGAATTTGCTGATTATTTGCACTGAAACGTTTTTTTAACAGTAAATTAAGGGTAGATGCATTCAATAAGTGTCTCTAATGGTTTTAGAACGTAGAAATTTAATGTTTACTTCACCGAAATTTTTCTTTTCAAGATAACATGTTTTCACTAAAATTAACATCTTTCCATTGTCACTTTAAAAACACTACAAAGTTAAAAATTAAGTCTGTTTCTTTATTGTCTATCAGTTTTAATATCGGGTGTTTCCTCCCCTAGCCCTGATAACCGCTTGCATTCGATCTGGCATGCTTTGAATGATGTTTCTGACATCAACTTGCGGTATGCTGTCCCAAGCGGCCAGCGCTGCATTTCGGAGCTCATTTAGAGTTTGTGGCGGTTTGGAGCTGGACTTTATCTTTCTTTTGAACATACCCCATACATGCTCAATTGGATTTAAGTCCGGGCTACGAGCTGGCCACTGTAATTTTTGTATTCCAACCTCTTCCAGATATTCCTCTACACAATGTGCGACGTGCGGTAGTGCATTATCGTGCATGAGGAGGAATTGGTCGTGTCCAATGAATCCCGAATAAGGAATTACGTGCTCCTGAAGAACTTCCTCGATGTATCGAGTAGCTGTAAGCCGATTATCGACGATGACCAACTCTGTACGTGCGTCGGAACTTACACCTCCCCATACCATTATTGAGCCTCCATGGAAACTCACAGTTTGGGTGGTGGTAATGGGTAGAAAGCTCTCTCCTCTTTTTCTCCACACTCGTTCTCGACCGTCTGGAGCACGTAAAGCTATTCGACACTCATCTGTGAACAACACTCTAGCCCATTGCTCGTGGGTCCAATTGACATGTTCTCTTGCGAACTGAAGTCGGGCTACTCGGTGCTGTCTGAGAAGTTCTGGACCTCGTGCTGGTCTACGAGCTTTTAAATTCACTTCCTCCATTCGTCTTCTCACCGTACGCTCACTAACATTAACGCCTCTTGCGATTTGGAGCCGCTGGCGTATCTCAACAGCGGTCAGGTAGCGGTTTCTCAAAATCTCCATAACAATAAAACGATCGTCCCGGGCCGATGTGCACCTTACGCCCCCACTGCCTGGCCTGCGGGTGTAGCGTCCTGTCTCCTGGTATCGTTTCAGTGAATACTGCATTGAGGACCGTGGTACGTTAAGCACAATAGCAACTTCACGCTGTGTCAGCCCTTGGTCAATTAATGCTACTGCTTGTGCAACTTGTGCTGGTGTTAATGGCATTTTTATTGGCTTTAAAGCACCTTTAGTTATTGAATTAAGACACAAGATCACAATAATTGAATAACCTTACAGTAAACTTTTCACAACACACAAATTTAAAATGTGAACTTAGTCGCTCAAATGACCCGATTCAACTAAAAATTAAAGAATTCGTCATGGTGCACTTAACATAATGAATTACCCTCTTGAACTTGAGAGCAAACATTTTTTGACATACCTGCATAACAAACATTCATCAGAAACACTTAAAGCTTTTGCTATCGCGAGATAACCGCTTGGCCAAGATTCCGTGCCGCTGAGCAGATAAACAAGGCACCTACAAATGGCAATACAAAAGCAGAGTTCCAAGAGTGGATTACGAGAAATGGATGATTGTTGGACAAAAGCGCAAATATACGAATTAATCAAAAAACACAAAGGAGACCCACAGTATTAAAAATAACAAATGTTAAATGAACATGGACATGAGGTTCTCCATTCGCCGCGACAGGCTATGGAATAGCTATGGATAGATATGGAAATAAATAAATTTATAATTAATGTCACAGGCGACACATCCGAGTCTTCTGATGTACTGAGACTCTAGCATGGATTCTGATAAAGATGTGCGAATGGAAGGCGTTGACCCACTGTAGAACCTGTGTGTTGTTACACCAAATTTACAAATAGATCTAGGTATTCAATAAAAGATTTACAAGGTTTCCATGGCCTTTTGATTTCGTTCTTTATAATAAATGTTTTTAAAATACCTTTTCTGAAAAATTCATTATAGACAAAATATCAGTGTTCATTAATCATAATAATAGTCATTTCTAACACGCATATAATACAGTCTATAATTATGTAAAAAGATTTGAAAGTTAAATTTGACCAACTTTTAGGTTTTCGATGGAGCGGAAATTTTGCATTTACGTTAAGTTTAGATGAAAACAAGTGACGTCATTCTAAATCCTATATGGCGGACTCCCAAAGATGGGGCCTAGTTATTTTTTATGCATTCCCATAATAAATATGGGTATCAAATAAAAGGGTTTGCTGAGAAGAATACCAAAAACAAAAGTGAAGCGTGTTTTTTGTTTTTTTCTCAAACTCGCTCGCATAAATTAAACGTTTTGAAATGTTATTATAGGAATAATTTATATTAACTTAAATATTACTATAGAAATTGTGTAGTGTAGTGTCAAACTTATGGGAGTTACAATCAAGAAATATATTTAATGCGAATCTTAAACAATAAATATAGCGTTTAAAATTTATTAGATCTTTGTAAGCTTTTAAGCTGAACATTACAGTTTTTTTAACTGAGTTTTGGTAATCACTTCGGTCATTTATGTAATTTGATATAATTATATAATTCTAGAAATAAGGTTAAATGAAGGAAAAATATATTAGTTAAGCTGGTAACATTAATTACGCCATCAGTCGCGCACAGAGTTATCTTGCGGGCACTATAGAGTGGAGGAGAGTAGCCATAGCGTTTTTCCCCGATACAGAACTGTCTGTCATTTTTTGACGTTATGGAGTTTCAATTTAGCCGTTTACGGATTTGACTAGTCCATTGATTGTTCGTAAACCGTCTACTCGTTCACAGTATGTCGACGGTCAAATTAACTAGTTCATTCATTCAACGGTCATCGCTACAATGAGTTGTAGCGCTAAGGGCATCGGGTTCAAATCCCACACGGAACAAGTATTTGTATGCTACGAATATTTGTTCCGGATTTGGATGTTTGTCCTTGTGAAATTTATGTATGTAAACTGTGTAGTAGTGAATTTATGTATGTAAACGTGGTATTCACGATACAGGAGAAAATCTTAGTGTAGAGATGAAGTTTTAAAAGAAAAAGAAAATAAATACATTATTATAATAGAATCGCTCGATGACAACGATAACTCGAATACATTCTCGGATCAGTCGCTCGACCGATATGTATATTGTACGAGGGCGACGGCCTGTGTTATTAAATAAATCCGAAACAACACGACCGTTATTATTGTAATTTTTAAGTTTAAAAGAAGTAAATAGCAATAATGTGATTAAAAATTACTTACATATGAAAGGTCTTTTTGTAAATTTGACGTGGCAGAACTCCTTTTGCACAAAAAAATCTGAAGAATTCGATATTTTTGTAGGACATCGATCCAATCGCGCAACTAGATTTATTATAATGAAGTAAGTTTATTGTGTGCATAGGGCCACGTGAACTTATACTTTGACAGAGGTGAACGCCTGCGTATGGCTACTCCCCTCCGATCCGCCGTTGACCGTTGCTCTATTATTTATATTAGTATTAACCGATGATAGGTTACATGTTTGATAAACACAAAACTGTCAGTCAAAGGATTGCATGTCAGAAGTGAAAACTACAAACTTGTAAACATTAATTTGGGGTTAAGAAATATTTTTTTCCCTTTTCCTTTACCTGGGTCTGCCATACGCCTTGATTCATCTTTCCTTCCTTATTAACCTTGGTTATGACTACACGAGAAAGACCTAAAACATATTAGTATTAAATATACAATATAATTTAAATATAAAAAGTGTAAGTATCAAAATTTTTCAGTTGAAATACATATCCAGTCAACAGTCAGTTACCAGTATCCGATTTCAAAAAGTTACTAAAAATGCCATATAAATATAATCGACATACATACATATTAATTTTATAAAATGTAATCAATTGGATTTTTAACATTACTTTTATCAATTTCATGTATCTGAGTAGTGCTTTTTCCTCATCCCAAAAGTGCCCAACGTGCCTAAAGAAGTTTTCACTTCAAAAAATTAATTAATCATGAAATGCAACTTAATACACATTCAAACCTGGACTTAAGATACTTTGTCAATCAATTTAGAGGTATCAGTAAAAGAAAGTTTACTAGCGTTGTACTGCCCGTCTGTATTTGCTTCCTTGGCTAGTGTCATAAAACAAAATTTAATAAAGTAAACATGTACCTTGCTGTGGAGGCAAGGCAGACATGGCTAACGTTTTGTTCCCAGCTAGAATGTTTCGCTGAAAAATAACCATCACAAATAGTGAGATATTGTATGAATACAGAGTGTGCAGAAAGATTTATTTCATAATTTTCACGGTGACTTAAGTTAGACCCACCTTCTAGCTGTTTTGACTTTTGTCTAAATTTGACTTAAAACTATAACGGTTATAATTAAATTAAAAGGCGATGAGTGAGATGGTGAGTCAGTTAATATGCTGCGTGACTGCCCTACATTTTTGAAGTGAAAACTTATTTGGAATCGATGTGATTTAAAACTCGATGAAATGAAAAAGAGACACTTAAAAGAGACAAACATATACATCTTTAGGATTTAGCTTGTAAGAGAATGTAAATACAGGATGTGTCCTATTATTTCAGTCCCCTCTTTGTGCTTTCAAGATGGTTAAATTTATTAAATAAATAAAGAATAAAATTATCTCACTATCTATACAAATAAATAAAATTGGAGTGTCTGTTTGTAATATCAAAATAACAGCTTTTTACTTAATACATAAAGAAGTATATACGGTACTTATAACAAAAAAGACATTTTTAAAATTTTTGTCTGTCTGTCTGTCTGTCTATCTGTCTGTTTGTTTGTTCCGGCTAATCTCCGAAACCGCTGGACCTATTTTGACGGGATTTTCACTGGCAGACTGCTGATGTTATAAGGAGTAACTTAAGCTACTTTTATTTTAGAAAACGAATTAGAGTTCCGTGAAAAAAAATTAAAATCCTTGAAATTGTGAACAAAATCCAATTCAAAGGTAATTAATAAAGGTAGGTATAATAATAATAATATATAATATACATGCAACATAATCGAATGTAAACACTAAGTATAATAATAATATAATAATAAGATATAATAATGCCTAGTATCGCGCGCGCCCCACGCGAACACCGCCGCCATAGCCGCACCGAAAGACATTATTACAAAGGCTAACTGTCACGCGGACTCAGAACGTGTAAGCGGGCAATTGCGGATGGTTGTGTCTCAACGCGCGCCCTGTGAAATTATTTTCGACTATCATATAGCTCATGTTATAAGGAGTCATTTTTATATTAGAAAAATAATCCGGTTCCGCGAAGAAATATTAAAATATATCGTAACAAATCGTAATATATTCCGCGCGTGCGAAGCCGCGGGGAGCAGCTAGTATTGAATAAAATTATCATGTCTATATATATATATATATCATTTTCGGTATAGCAATAGACTTTAATAATTCTAATTCTAAATATAGAATATTAAAATCAATAATTAAAAAAAAACTAAAACTAGTAACTTAATTACTGCTGCTGCAAAATGCCACCTGGCAGCATTGCACTCAGTGGAGAGACGTGCTAAGAAGCTCATTGGTTACCTTGATTTGATTGAAACCAATCTTGTCAGCCTCGAGCACAGGCGCAGAGTAGCCAGTCTCTCGGTATTCTATAGGATGCATTTCGGTGAGTGTGCAAAGGAATTACACGCTTTAATTCCTCCCTCTCTTTTCCACCATCGGACAACCAGGCGGTCCGTGGGTCTTCATCCCTTTGTTGTCGATATTCCACGCATTGGAACCAAACGGTTTGCTTCGTCTTTTGTAATGCGTACAGCAAAGGAGTGGAATAATTTGCAGGCGTCCATCTTTCCGTCCGAATACAATCTGGGCGTCTTCAAGGCAAGAGTGAATAGGCTTTTGTTACGATAAGACAGTGCAATTTACCATCTAAAGCTACATCACCACCTACCACCAGGTGGGATTGTGGTCAAGCACTGGCTTATAATACGTTAAAAAAAATATCATACAGTCCTACTCTTCGCGGTATCGTGCCAAGAACGCTGGCTGCGTTTCCCATCTGAATAGCTATACAGTAAAAGGTCCTTATTCGCGCTTTCTTCATTCGCGTTTTCACTATTCGCGGATTTAAAAAAAATGCGACCCAATTCCTATATTCGCGGCTAAATATTTCTTTATTCGCGGATCTAATCGGTACATCGGTACATACATATTAATACAAGTGATTCCAATAGGTATCCAACCCAATATCTTTTGCAAACGCGTCGTCGAACGGACTAATAAAAAAGTAAATTATATAGTTATCACAACTATGCCTAAAGTATGTTGTTAAACGATATGGCGGCTTATATCAAAGGCCGAAACAATACAGGTTCAGACATTTTTACCTCCCAACACGACAGCTTTGCTTCAGTCCATAGAATCAAGGAATAATCCAGCTCTTTAAGCTCTATTACATTAGACGAAACTTCAAAATTATATTGGATAATATGGAATGTGATCCTCATACGAAAGTTATGGAATGCTGGAAGAAATTTGACATATCAAAATGCATCGTAGACATAAAAGAATCGTTGGAAGAACTGAAGCAATACACATTGAAATCATGCTGGAAAAAACTGTGGCCTACTCTGACTGCGAAAAATGACGAAGAATCTGTGCAAATTCAAACTTTGACTGCAAACACAGCCGAAATTGCGAATGGAATAGGACGATATGGGTTCGAAAAGATAGAATCAATTGACATTCAGGAGTTGCTTGAATCGCAAGATGAAGATTTGACTGAAAACGACTTGGAGGAAATGTTAAATTCACAGCCGATTGAAGAAGAGGCTTCAACAAGCACTGGAAACATGACATTTAATTTTAAAAATCTTAGTCAATGTTTAAAGAATGCTAAACGAGCTTTGTGATTGCTTTATAAAAATTGATCCGTCTATGGAACGAAGTCTTATTTTTAAGAGGAAAATTGGTAATGCCACTGCTGAATGTCAGTCTGAATTGAAGGAGCTAAAGCTAAAAACTGCCAAGCAAGAAAAAATTACAAAATACTTTAAACCATTACCTAAGCCGGAAGATAATACTTAATCAATATGGTTAAAAACTTCAATTAAATTGATTTTTTATATATTTGTTTTTTATTTTGTCACTTAGGAACGTATTCCCTATACTTTCGTATAAATTACCATTTCATATTCACGGTTTCTGTATTCGCGGCATATTTATGGAACATATACCCCGCGAATAAAGAGCTTTTACTGTACTTAGCCTTTGAGCGAGAAAATCCATTCCTAACTATCCACTATTTCATAACTCATTGTTTTATATCAAATTAGTGTTGTTTAGGCCATCTGCATCTATTTTATGTACCATTGTCTTTGAGAGTCAATCAATTTTTATTTGATAAAATGACTTTATCCATAGAATGAAGCAGATAGCGCCATTACTAAAGGTTACACAATTTTGTGAAAGTTTCCCTTTTACCGCGGTGAATTGCACAAATGTTTAATACTTTTAATTTTAATTATTATTAATTAAAATAATAGTTTATGGTTGGAATTAGTTATCTCAGTATAATGTAAGCGGCTGAGTTATAGTGTAGTGCCAGCATATAAGCTAAATAGTACATACGAGTACATAAATATTTCGAATAAATATTAACCGTGTTTTCTTAATTCAAGCACAAAGATAGCCATTGTTACATTTAATTAATTTATTTGTAAGTTTCAGGAATATTTATGATTTACTGTGTAGATTATAGAAGAAATAAAAACTTAGAGAAAAACAGCTTCAGGCTAAACTAATACCAAAAATGACTAAAGCTAATAAAATAAGTAGGATCGATTTTTAAAAAGATGGTATTAATCGCATTCTAAATGTTCCTTTCAAAATTATGTATTACTAAAACGTAGTAATTATATACTCTTTGGTAATTTTGACCTGTTGACCGAAGTTCGAATCAGATGTCATTGACCCCTCATATCGGAGCATCCAAGTCCAATCCCTAAAACGAACTCTCCAATAAGCAATATAATAGTTATAATTACTAATAAAAGCAGATATTATCATATTTCTGCTAACAGTTGTTGACGCGCTTGTAATTCATCTTATTATGTGCGAGCGTGTTGGTTGATTCGATTGAATCGACTAGACTCTCGGTGGATACGGTGGTAAATCGACATCATGCAACGATTTCCTGCAATTTGGAATGAATGGACTATCAAATGGTGCCGGCACGACATTTTCATTTTCAAATTTAAAATTGTTACTTTTATAATTTTAAAAAATAACTTGAACAACAAAATCAATTTTTGTGAACGCATTCATATCAGACCGCCATTTTTTTTAAATTATAAGCATGCAACACTCAACATTGACAACCCAAAATGCAATCATGGCGCACGGGGCACTGTGTTTGTAGAATGCTGAGAAGTTTTTACGTAAACACATCATTTTTTTGCGTTGTAACCAGTCTATGTATTATAATAATTTATCCGTGAAATTCAAAGATTATAGCGAAGCATACATGTGTGTTCTAAACGTGAAATTTTCACCAGTTCGGAACATCGTCTCTGTACTACTAGACACTTGCAGGTATAAAAATCATGAGATTTGCTGTTTTAGACGTCTAATCGTATGCACAACAATTAAATTATCTTTAAAATGTGTTAAAATTAGATGGCTAATTCGGTGCAACGAATTTTGTTGTTGTTGTGTTGTGATAATTTCGATATATACGTTTGTTCCAGATAACTTTGTTGGTGTCATTATGTCAGAGGCGTACGCCCGTGAGATACTACGAAGGAATGTTGCGCAAATATGTCAAACTATAGGATGGAACGGTATAAACTCGACACCTCTTGACATACTGGTCCATGTGTTGGAAAAGTACATTTGTACACTTGGAACACAAGCTAACAGATACGCCGAACAATTTAATAGGACTGAACCAAATTTACATGACTTAGGATTAGTGTTCCGTGATCTTCATGTCCATTTGCCAGAGTTAGCAGAGTATACAAGATGTGTGCCACCTGTTCCACCACCTGTCAATGTAGAAAAATTTCCTAAACCTAAAGAATCAAATTTGAATTTCCTCAAACCTGGCAGCCATGAAGTGGTTACAAGACCAATGCATGTGCATGAACACCTTCCACCTATGTACCCTGAAAAAGAAAGAGACACACCAGTTGTTGCAGGTACTGTGGAAATCAAACAAAATGGTATTGATAATATTGACAGTAATGCTACATGTACAAGTCCTGAAATATCTGTCACGGATAGTCCAGAAAAACCTAAAGATATATTTAAAAGGCCAATTGACCCTGTCTCATTACCAAACAGTAAGAGGCCAAGGTTAAGGCTGGAAGAAGAGGAAAGAACTCGTGAAATCAGTAGTGTAATAATGACTATGTCTGGTTTCTTATCACCTGCCCGTGAAGGTAAATTACCTGAGGCCAGACCTCCTACAATAATATCTGAAAAGCATCATGACAAGCATAGAGTCAATTCTCACCATTCAAATCCCATGAAAGCACCAATTTTAGATAAAAGTGATAAAAAATCTAAAAAGAATAAATTGTTAAATGGCAAGATCATGAAAAGTAAAAGAAAAGATAAGAGTCATAAAGGGGAAAGTAGTAAATCTAAGGATAGCAATAGATTGGACAGGTATCCACCTGGATACCCAATGAAAAGTAAAGATATTCATCCCACACATCATAACCATGTCACAATGCCAGCGCCAAAAGCTTTGCCACATCCATCAAAGCCTATGATTCCTCCAGCTCAAAATACATCATCGGTTCCAAGTCCAGCTCCAGTTCTTCCTGTACCTGAACCTATCAGACCAGTCATTAAACAGGAACCACCAGATACTTCTCCACCTGTTGTACAACCAACCATTGAAGATACTATTCCTGTACCAAGAAAAATCCCAATTGCAAAATCTCCACTTGTTTCTAATTCTTTACCTGTAAATAAAACTCTATCTTCTACAAGTTCCCTTATACCGGAGACAGAAATTAAGAAGGAGGTACTTGATGAGGAGGAGAAGCTGGCGTCTCAACCAGACAGATCAAAAGTTAATATATTTAAGAGAATATCGAACAAAAATAAAGAAGATAAGAATCCTCTAGAGGTTGTACAAGAAAAGTTGCAGTCTGACATTATGATCTCAAGGTTGCAGAATTCTGCACATGATGTTGCAAGTGAAAATGTTCAAGTGAGTAATAATGAACCTGTTGTGAATAATAATAATAGTGCGTTAGATTTGTCAAAAGAAATAGATATCAGGGCCAATGAAGTGATCAGTATTGATGATGACTCTATGGACATTCATACAATGCCACAGACTAAACATTTGCCTCCTGAACCTAGACCTAGTATATCAATCAATAAATCATTGCAACAGCCGTATTCCAAAGATGTAACTACCGTCGGTCCAAAAATCAAAAAGGAAAGGAAACACAAGGACAAAAAAGATAAAGCGGCTAAATTAGAGGCGAAGTTGCTCAAAAAACAGCAACAACAATTAGCGTTTGAAATGGCACAAGCCGAGAAAAAGAGAATGAAACTTGGTAATGTCAAACCAAAATCAAGTAGGCCAAAGAATGAATCAAAATTACCACAGATGCCACCAGGTTTTCCATTTTTCCCAGCAATGCCTCCAGGAAGAGGTTTGATGCCTGGACCTGGTTTAATACCTAATCCTGGGTTGATTCCCGGGAGTGACTTTCTTGCAGGGCTAGCCAACAATCCAGCATTAAGAGGTTTACCTTCTCCAAATTTGATGTCAAACCCCTTTGCTTTAGGAGCAAGTGGCCCTGGACTAATTCCAGGTCCTAGTTTTCTACCTGGGCTTGGTCCTGGTATTCCTAATCATCTAATGCCAATGGGCAATTTCCCACACACATCGCGATCACAGTCCATGAAAATACCCCCAATGCTGCGACGTCCGAGCCTTGAAGTAATTCCTGTAGATAATAATGATGATGATAGAGGGATACATAAATCCCCGAATTTGCACAGAGATAAAGATCGACATGATAACAAGCACAAATCTCCGACCATTCCAAATATTTTACAGAAACCGAAGTCAAAGTCACATAAAGATCACAAATCACTTTATAAAATGCCACCTGTTCAGCCAGATATAACAATAGAACTGAATCCACCTAAAGTTGAACCTGTAAGACAAGAGCCTCTTAGGGAGCCACCACCACCAGTTCGTTTGCCCACTCCTGAACCTGAAGTGAATGTCATTGAAAAATTAGACCCCGAACCACAACCTGAACCAGTCAAAGCACCAACTCCCGAAGTTTTACAAGAAAAAGATGTAGAAAGTGCTGATAAGAAGAAGGATAAATCACATAAAAAAGAAAAGAAAGATAAAGATGGCATCAAAATAAAGAAGAAAAAAGATAAGAAAGATAAAAACAAGGAAAAAATTGAGAAGAAAAAAGAAAAGGAAGAAAGACAAGAGGAGAAGGATAGAATAAAGAAGGAAAAGAAAGATAAGAAGAAAGAAAAGGCAACAGATGGTTTAGTGCCTAAGCTTACATTAAAGTTAGGTTCTTCTAATTCAAATTCTCCAATGCCACCAAGCTCACCTGATATCTTCAAGTTAAATATTAAGCCAGTGGTTAAAAAGGAGGAGGAAGATAGACCACTGCCAAAAGAGGAACCAGTATCTCGGGAACATAGTCGCTCACCGGAATTAGCGCAAATATCAGCGCTAGTGACGAGGCCGCCGAAACAAAAGCAATCTAAACATAATCACATTGGCGAAGTGGAGGCACAGCCGTCATCTCCACCGTCAGTGAATTCTCCGCCTAGGAAGAATAGGCCACCTTCAAGTAATTCTAAATATAAAAGAATATTGTTTAAACCTATGCTGAAGAAAGGACATATGGAGAGCTTTGAAGACGATACGGCGTCGATATCAGAGGAGCCGGTGCCTACGATGCCGAAACCAAGCGGGCCTTTGCCGACACCCTATTATGTGGACGAGCATGGGAACAAAATTTGGGTATGTCCAGCTTGTGGAAGGCAAGATAACGGGTCGCCCATGATAGGTTGTGATGGTTGCGACGGGTGGTACCACTGGGAGTGCGTAGGAATAACTGAAGAGCCTGGAGCGACGGAAGACTGGTTTTGTAAATCGTGTCTTGCCAAGCGCGCCGCAATGGTCCTAGCCGGCGTAACTTCAGGCAAGAAACGAGGCAGGAAACCAAAAGGGGAAAAAGTCAGAGACTGTCATTGATATGGACCTTTATTGTTACTGAGATTAGTTATAGTTTACTGTTTAATAGACACGAGTAAATGGTTTGCGAATTGTTAATGGATTATTGTTGAATGATATCATGGAGATACATTTTCATCATTTATAATGTTATATCATAGGGTAGTTATAAGTATAGATAATAATTAAATATTGACATAAAATGTTGAACATAAAAGGATAGTGTTAGTTACTTGTAATAATTACCATAATTTTAATAATTTTTGTTAAATTTTTCACTTTATTTGCCGTTCGCTCGGTTAGATCAAGTTTAATTCGAATGCGGGCGTTACACTTCTTGCGTGTAAACATAGAAATAATATAAGATTCTTTTTATATTGTACAAAAAACTGAATTTACTTAAGAAATTGGTGATGTATAAAGTAATGTAGTGAATATTTAAATAAACAGAAAGAAGGTTGAATATATGTTCAGCCAATATTTGAATATTTTCATATTATAATTTTAATATAACCCTGTTTTTTTTTTTGTTGAAGTTGTTCCTTCGTGTCTGTACAGGGCAGTGCAGTCGCATGTTATTTGGCATTTTATGTTGTAAAGACTTAAATGCAAAATATAATATGAGAGTGCTCGCTCTAACACACTCAATTTACGTGGAGATGGGAGGCAAATGTAAATTTTTAATTTCAGCCAGTGGCCAATTAAATATATTGGTACTCGAAATTGTAGTCCGTTATTTAAATACCTCATTGTGTTCAGAAAATCCTTATTAAAATGACTGATTATATTATCTATGGATGGTCATAATTCTACTTACTCTAATAAATTAATATATTTGAACATTTTAATCATTTCTTAAAATTTCAATCAAAAAGTTGCAGGTAAAAGCCTCCTGGCTAACACAAACATCACCGAACCGAAAAACGACTACATAAGTAAAAAGTCGATACTCTAAGAGCTAGCGCCATCTAGCATCGTAGTTGCACAATTTTATGTTATTATGGAGTTTCCTTTTTATCAGCTTTCTAATTTTATTGCTTTTAGGTAAATAGATTTTTTCAAAATGAAACAAACAATGAGCGCAATATTTTAATAATAGAACACGAGCTTTCGAATTTTTTCCCTTAGTTTAACATTTAAGTACGAGAACATAAACATAGCTACTAAGTATATAATATTTCATTGTAGTAATAGGAAAACGAGTGTATTGTCAACGAGTGTTAAAACAAATTTAATGTTAAGTTTTTCTATATAGGACAATACCTTCCAATCAGAACTTATAAACTTTAAGTTTTAAGAAGAGTAGAGTTATTTAGGCTGTGGTTTTTTAGTCTATAAACGTCTCATTTCTGGGCCCAGGCCTCTAATTTCTGAGCACTTTGGACAAGAAAGTACCTATCCGCCGCACTGGCCCAATGCGTGTTGGCGGACTTCAAGTCTTTGAAATATTTATTTTTTATTTTATAGATATAGGTAGGTACAGGTTTTCTCACTATGTTTTTCTTTACCGCATGTAGTAAAGCAGAACTTAAAATTGCCACTAACAGTCCGATTTTATGCAAAATGGAACCACACGACAAATTTCGTTTTTTACTTTTTTCAAAAAGGAACCACATGATTTTTTCCTTGGAAACAAGGTATACTAAAAGCTGAACAGAACCAAAAGCAACAACAAACATTACATATTAAGCAAAACCGAACCACAGCACAACAGGACTCGATTGTTCAAACAAATAAACGATATTACTACCATGTAATTTTATACAAAACAGATCCACACATACTTGGTACCATTACACATTACACATATTTCTATTATTAACAATTATTTTAATACACCAAATGGAACCAAGTTTCTGTGGTATCTTAATGCGTAAAATAAATTCATAATTTACTTCCTTTTTTTTGCAAAATGGAACTACAAGCGTTCTCCGCGAAGAAAGTTCTATTGTTTTTGTTAATTTCTTTAGAATTTAAATAATTAGAAGAAGTGAGCGCGAGACGGAATATCTTATACCAGACATGACTTTAGACAAGATGTACGAATGAACATATAAAAGATGAGAAGGTCAGTAAGGCAATGTAAACAAAGTTAAATTTATAAATATTTCAATCTTAAAGGAACGCCTCTTAATAAAGATACTTGTAACGAGTGTGACACATTACAAAAAAATTTAGAAATTAACTCTTAAAACTGCTGAGGAGAAAACAGCCATAGATACAGAACGCGAAGAAAATTGCCGAAAATGGGAAGAGCTCGAAATATAATAATGTCTGCCTTTATTCTGGCTACTCAATGTAAGGAAATAGAATGCCTCACGTTTGATTTCTAAAAAACATTGCCAATGCCTAAAATCCCTACGGCAATCATTTACTATAAATGACAGCGTTGGCTGTACCATATGGGAATTCATTCTGCAAAGACTAACTTGAGTGAGCGCTTTGTCTGGATAGAAAGAATGGCTAGTAAAGGTGCCCAGGAAGTCAGTTCTTGTCTAGTAAAATACTTAGGCGAGCATATTTCTGAAGATGTCGAGGAATTAATTTTATGGAGCGATTCATGTGGAGGACACAATCGTAACATAAAGATAGTATTGATGTTAAAAGCATTTTTGCATTCTCATCGCACCTTGAAAAAATAACTCAAAAATGTTTGATACCCGGACATAATTACCTACCCAATGACAGAGATTTTTCCTACATTGAAACGACAATAAATAAATATCCGTGACTATACACTAACGATGATTATGTGCAGGTTATGAAAGATTGCAAGAAAAAGAACCCGCTTACAGTTAGTTACAGTTATGGCAAAATCTGATTTTCTGGGAACTTCTAAGGTTGAAAAAACGGTTATTAACAGAAAAGGTAGTATTAATAAAGAGTGTATTAATTTGTTACAAACTCGAGAAATATACATAAAAAGAGACTTACCAAACTCAATTGATTTTAAAACAGAATTCCTTGGTAGTTCTGTGGAAGTAAATGTAGGAAGAGCACCTGTTCGTGGCAGACCAGCTGTAATATTGACGGAACATTTAGTTCCTTTGTGGCCTTCAGAGAAGCCAGTGTCACCAGCGAAGCTAGCTTATACTCAGTCCATATTACATCTCATTACACAAGATACACAGAGTTTTTATAATGGTTTTATTTGTGATGATGCAATAGAAGACGACATAGATGGACTGGACACGGTGGATTTCGAAATCAAATTTGATGATAACGTCGAATAAACGCTCTCTATATGTGTTATTTTATATTTTTTTATGAATTAAAGCTTTATTACGATAATAAAAAGACATAGTTTCATTTATATCAGTAAATCCCTGTGTTGTGGTTCTTTTTTGTATATGAGAATACCTATCAATTAGTAAATGTTAAAAGGAACCACATGCACATTTTCTTAATTATCTAGAACGTTTAAGGGTATCTAGTGCAAATTTATATAGGTACACATACTTAAATAAGTAAGTTATCAACAAATTTGAATAAATTTTACATCATCTGCACATGTTTTTGTAAATCATTTGATATCTCAGAAGTGCGTGTTTGCTGAGTGGTTCCTTTTTGCATAAATACGGACATTTGTTCATGGCAATTTCAAGTTCGATCCGATACCAATAAAAACTCATTAGTGTCGGCTGGGACCAAACCTGAACTGCTCGCATACTGTGATATTTACGGCAAGCGCTTTACACATTGAGCTACCACGACTGTGATATAGTGTAAATATTTTTTTCTTCTTCATTAGCCTATATAAAAAAAAGTCCATTGGATATGGGATTCTTCTGTTGTTGTGTTTGATTTAGAAGATCACTTTAGAGAAATAAAAAAAACATCCTAATTTCAATAGAGAAGATGGATGGGTGCTGCCATCTGATTGGGATCCTATAATTAATAAAATTAAATCCAAGCCCAAGCATACCACTGCAAGACTTCAAAGTACTATAAGCTCATTCTGCGTAGATTGGACCAAAAATTTATATTTAAAAACTGAAGGTAGTCGGGCTAACTATGACATTGGGACGTCAAACACCTCAGTCTCCCCCATGTCCATGGGTGCTGTAAAGCACCCGAAACGTCGGGAATTAGAAAGTTCAATTAAATGCGGTAAAATGCGTAAAAATTAGCTTCATTTAATGTGTAGTCTTCGCGTAAATATAAGAAATCATTGTATTTTTTCACACTATGATACAGCCATAAACTCCTTAAATTTAAGATTTTCCCAGATTTCTGAGCACAGTAAACATTTCCTTTTTTGTATGACATATATGCCTTAAGAGAACTCCCAAAAGATGAATTGTTAGAACATTGTAAGAACCTTGAGGCTATTTTCACTCATGAGAACTCAAGCGATATAAATGCATTAGAGATTTGTGAGGAGTTGTCAGTCCTTTGTATGTTTTTAAATGGTAATTTATCTTCTCAAAATGTTTTGAAATTTGTAACAGATTTAAGATTTGGTCCAAATATATATATAAATATATATATAATTGCGCTCAGGACCCTTTTAACTTTACCAGTAACAGTTGCAAGTGGTGAAAGAAGATTTCCTAAATTATAAATAATAAAAAAATATCTGCGATCCACCATGACACAGAATAGATTATCTGGATTGGCTATGATTTCAATGAACACAAGGTTTGCGACATTATAAATTTATCAGATACTAGCTGTTCCCCGCGACTTCGCCCGCGTGTTATTTGAGGTTTTAATTTTTTTTCGCGGAACCATAATTATTTTTCTTAAATAAAAGTAGTCTAAGTTATTCCTTGTGACGTCAGCTATCTGCCAGTGAAAATTCCGTCAAAATTGGTCCAGCCGTTTCATAGATTAGCCGGACAGACAAACAGACAGACAGACGGACAGACAGACAGACAAAAACTTTAAAAATTGTATTTTTGTTATTAGTACCGTATATACTTTCATATGCATTTAGTCATCATTATCATCATTACAGCCCTTCACAAGTCCACTGCTGAACATAGGCCTCCCCCAAAGAATGCCACAAAGCACGGTTC